AAACACCTTCTTCAACATATAATTACTCTCTTTTGTATAGTGAATATAGTTGAAGACTTAGAATATTATTCTTTGTCTCAACTCTCTCTTTCACTACACTAACTCATTATATACACAATACAACACTTCTCATATTTGGCTAACACTCTATCTCCTCTCTCAAATACAAAGTAAGACCACACTATTTATAGTGAGGAATTCTTCTTTACAATGAATAGGAAGATAATGAGGGTAGTAAATTGAGTAAATAATAGCCTAAAAGTTACATAAGTTAGTTACAACCATAATGAGGTAGAATAATGGGTGAATAATGAGTTAGAGGTTACAAGAGTTAGAGGAAATTATAGCCACATTCTACCATTAACTCATGTGAGTAATGGGGCATATAATGTCATCAAAGACAACTCAAATGTGGCACATCATATGCTACAAACGCGTAGCAAACATTTGACATTTCTCATTGTTGAAATATACACTTTAAAATAAGATTAAAATGCTTAAAATCCAATACATTAAGTTGTTTTCAAGGATAGAAATGTGATGCTTATTTTGAGATAGACTAAAAAAAATAAGTTCTATAACACATTGGGACAAAGAGAGTATATGATTTTATTCTTTTACTATCTTTTTAATTTTATTTTATCAATATATATTGTTTCCTTTGTTTCAATTATCATATCATTTGTTATTTCTGTTGTTGTCTTTTCATTTATTTTTTAGCATGATTTTTTAATTACTATATTTTATTTTCAAACTTGATTTCGACAAATTTACTGAATCAACAATCTGTAAAAGATACGTTCAACATTTATAAGATAAAAAATATATAAGCAGGATAAACATAAACGCACCAAACAAAATAACAACAAAAAAAAAGTTGCCAAAAAAGAATAAATAAGCATGGGCATAAGCCCACCAAAAAAAAGTTGAAAAAGTTCATTGACTACTTAGCTGATCCAACCAGACTGGGCCCACTAGAATCTTCAAATGTGATTTTGGTCTTTTAAGGCTATATTATTTAAAAAAGAAGTAAAAATTACGAAAAATGACAAATATCTAGAGTATATTATGTAATATAATTATAGTTTCGATTATTTTTAATTTGTGATTACAGTTTCGCGAAATTTTGCTATTCGATTTCTTAATTATATAAATTCAGGATTTGTATAATTCGGTTCCTGATGGTATAAACTCATATTTTATATAATTCGGTTCCTCATTGTATAAATCCAAAATTTATATATGCTTACCCTAACTATTTGTACACGATTTATAAAAAAATCATAATAAATCACCATGTTTGTATATTGACAAACGAAATATACAAACGGAGTTCTGAAAAATTTCTAAATGTATAAATACAAAATTTATATATATTTACCATGTTTGTATATTCGCAAGCAAAATATACAAACGGATAAGCAAAATATACAAATCGCAACCTCCATGGCAAACAAAAGTATAGCCATAAAGCACAATTATTCAAACTATAGCTATAGAGTCTTATTATGTCTATTATCTTTGCCAATTCTGAAATTTTCTCTTAAGAGCATCTCTCATATTTTAAAAATTGAAATTTTTATAAATTTATTTTACTATGTTTCAAAAGGTAGAAGTAGTTTGATTTCAAAACTTAGCAGAATGCATTTGTATATTTGCGCATATAATATCTTATTCTAGTGGAAAAGCATTTGGATATATTATTAGATTATAATTATAATTTATATATGTATGTATGTTTGATCTATTGTACATATGTATATGTGTTCTCAAATAGAAATTGAATGTTGCGTCGCTAATGATAATTGAAAATTTTAGATAGACAACTATGTACACTGATAGAAGATAAAAATATTAAAATATGACTTTGGTGATAGACTTATATAAATTTTCTCATGTTCAAAGGGAGGAAATTTTGTAAAATGCTTATTAGTGTCCATGTTTTTTATATATAAAAAAACTCATTGAGGTTTTACTATATGTTTCGATGTTTAGAAGCATTTTAATTTTAGAATATAATAAAATATATGTATTTGTATTGACTAAGGAGCGTGTATAATTAAAAGATATAATTGAAAGTCAATAATTAAGGAGAAAATCACGCTTATAACAATTTTAGAGGATCTGACATATCACAACTCCTAAAAAATAAACAAAACAATCAACATCCGTCTTTTTTTGCTGATTCACCAATGTTTAGATTCTTAACTTGAAAACCTGTACACTTTATCAGATAAACATAGTAAGATACAATGATAAAAAATAAATAATGTGTCAGATACATGCTAGCAACATGTAAAGTCATATACATGAACTCTTGCTTAGACCTCATTTGTTTTCATTAAGATTAAGACGTCTGAATCTGAATGCACAACTGAATGATTAAGATCTTGTCTCTAGATCTGAACATTGAATGTTCAAAGACTGTTTGTTATTAAACATCTGAATATAAGAAAATAACGCCAGTCTTTGATAAACGTTAAGATATTTAAATTATAAATTAATATTTTAACTTTGATAAAAATAACATGGAACTACATGAACTATATATATAAATTATAATAATAAAAGTAATTGTTAGAAAACAATATAGTCTTCTTTTTTTTTTAATTTCAAAAAACACATATTTATGAAGTTGTTTTGCACTTTAGTCAAATAAAAATTTTACAGTAAATTTTATCAATTCTTGATAAACAAGCCGCAAGAACAAAAATGAAAAGCATAAGGAAAATAATTTCGATAATTAATAAAGCTGGAGAATAAGAGAGACTTGTTTTTTTTAAGAAAAAATATATGGAGCTCAATTTTTTTCAAAAAATAAAAGTGTCTTTAAAAAGGTCTGAATGAAAATAAGAGATCTGATTCATTCACACCCATTAAGAGATTTTTTTAGTAAAAAAAACAAATGCACTTAATGTCCTAATGTCTGAACTATTCAAATTCAGACCTCCATTAAGTACAAACAAATGAGGCCTTAGATATAAGTATATATTTCATCATATACATGTTCAATTAGTCATATACATTGATAAAACTAGATACATTATGTCTTAACTCAGAACACATGTACACTTTATTATAGTCATGAGCTCTTATTCAGATGCACGCATATATTTTATCAAATACATATACACTTAATCAAATACATTAATAAAAATGAGATACATATAATATTAACTAAAAAATGTACCGAATACATCAATAATGTGTCAGATAAAAGCGTAAATCTCCACTTATTATTTTAACAAACAATATTTTTTGACAAAAAATATTCATAATTTTTATCTTTATGCAAACTTTAGAATATCCTTCATAATCAATCCACTGTACAAAATAATCAATAGTGCAATTTTAGTGTTGTTTTATAGTAATAATAATAATCTTCGAAGTAGGACTAAAAATGACCAACAAGGGTAATCCTTCAAAGGTGTTGAAGAATCTAAAAGGCTCGTGCCTTTTGATGCTTCTATAGTATTCATCGATCTGATTAAATCGATCTTCAAAATATACTATCAATAATCATATATATGCGTATATAAACAAATTTATGTAACAAATTAGTGAAAGGAGAGAGCAAAAATAATATAAATCTCTTTGTTGGTACTGAAAATGCAATAATAAAGGTGAGGGAGAAGGAGGAGGGAGAATGCTGAATAAAATGTGGGAGAGAAAATATAGAAGAGAATGTGAATTGATTTTTAGTGAATGCATAAATTATGGAGAGAATTGAATGAATAAATCATTAAATTAATTAAAAGAATTAAGTATCTTAATGTATTTAACTTTAAATATGATATGAAATTCTTAATTAATAAAAATACATATAATTATTTGAAAGTATAAGCATAATTAGTACATATGGTATGAACATGCAATTTTTTCTTGAGAAAAAGGATCTTTCAACTAAAAAAAAAAAAATTACTAAGAAAAAAGGAAGTAAAAATTGCCATTAATAAAAAAAAGGGAAAAGAAATTGAGATGGTGGAGAAATAAAGGGCATAAATAAGATAAGTTTGCAATTATTGAAAAATCCACAAACCCTAACTAAGATTTATATATATGTAAATAAGAATAAGAGTTATCTCACATTATACTATATACTATAAAGAAACATCAAAGAAAATTCAGCAAGTAAAGTCTTTCTCCCCCTTTTTTTATCTCTGTTTTTTTCACTCAATTTTTCCTCATTCAATACACTTTTTGCTGTTTAAGAACAAAAAAAAAAGGTTTTCATTTGCTTCCTACATATATATATATATATATATCTGTTTGCTGTAATTGTTCCTTTTTTTTTTTTTTGTTTTTTCAGGTAAAGGTTTGTTTTTTATTGTTGAATTTTTGTGTTTTTTTTTTTTTTTACCTGAAATAGGATTTGATGAGTGATAAAATTGGTTTTGTTGTTATCTATGGAGGTTTTATCGATATGGGGTTTTATGGAAATTGATTAATTTTTGGACTATTTGACTGTCTTTATATCGTGTTTGTTGATGGGTTTTGTGTAGAGCTGGAAAATCGCATTAAGTTTTTATCAACCAACACCTATATATGTTCAATCAATCAATCAACTATGCCTCAATCCAAAGCTAGTTGAATTTACTGGTAATGGTAGGATTTTTCCGTCTATTTTGCAGAATTCTGATGATTTGTGCTGATTTTCCAGTAATTTAGATCAAGTGATATGGGATTCGGAACCAATTAGTTGTTAATAGTAAATTAGTTTGTTTGATTTGTTGTTTTTGGAGGGTTGTTACCCTTTGTATTGTATTGCATTGTTAGATATAATATTTGTTTTGATTCTTTTATGTTTTTTATTTTTGCGAGTAAGAATGTTCTTTTTCTCTTCTTTTGTGTTGTATTGATATTTTGAAATATCTGGTTGCAGGGTGCTACTAGTGGAGTGTGATTTAGTGTTTGAGTTGTGTTTTACTACTCGATTTGTACTTGATTGCTTTCGTCTCGAGATGAAAAAAAAAGCTTTAGGTTTAGCTGATTCTGGAGTTATGCCAGTTTCCGGGAACGAAGAGGTCTCAATCTGATTTCTTATTTGCTGCTGAAAATAGGTCTAACTGTTGCTTTGTTTTTTAATATTACTCTATTTTATCATGTATTTGCAGCCTGGAGTTCTTGCCCGACAGTCTAATAACTCTTCGTGTCTTCTTCCTTATAAGAAGAGGTGGTACTCTTTGCTCTATCCTCGTGCACCTATCCATCCTGAACGTTCTTTTTCTAATGAAAATAAATCCAAGACCAAAGATTCTGGCTTGGGACAAAGATCAACCTTGAATTCTTGTGATAGTACAGGTAAATCTGATGCTCCCAATAAGTCTCTTCTAGAGGTAAAAGAAGAAAGGCCTTTGGGTGTGAAAGTTGACTCTCAGCCTACTATGCTACCATTTTTATCTGTTTCCACGGAAACAAATCCTTATACTAGTTCTGGTCCTTCAAGAAATGTTGACGATCTAGTGAAACCAGCATTGGTTGTAAAATTAGCTCGCCAGGAAGCTATAGGTACAACAAAAGTTTCTGTCAAGAAAGAAGTCACTGTCAAACAAGGGGAAAGCCACAGTAAACTTGAACTTCCTGCCCATTCAGGGAACGTTGAACTGTCATTAGGCCCAAAGAAACCTCATGTTTCTTCTTTGGTTGATCCAGATACTAAGGAGAGTTGTCTGATGAGTGGAACTGTAAATCCTTCAATGCTTTCTCTTTCCTTGAATAAAAGGAAAGACATTTCCAAGGAAGGAAGTTGCAAGAATGGATTGAATAGCAAGGATGCTGATGATACTGCACACACTGATAGATCTAACTGGGATCTGAATACTCCCATAGATTCATGGGAGGGTTCTGGTGATGTTGTTCCTGTTCATGATACAAGTCAAATCGATCTGTTAGGTAAGACATCTAGTTCACTAGACAGAAAGCCGCCTATTAGTTCTGCTTCTGTTATTGGTTCTGATGGTGATGGGAAGCAAGTTGTTGGAGCTAGTGAGCAGGAATTTAATTTTCCTATTTCATCAATACATCCTAGCCTACGACACAAGTCTGCAGATGTGCTTCGTCTTAGTCTTGGTAGTACTTTACGAGGGTTTGATTCCTCAGCACTGCAGTCATTGTATAAAGTAGACTCCAGCAGGGTTAGTCCAAACTCAAGTTTGCTAAAAAATCTAGCATTGGATAGAAACATGAATCCCCCTACTTGTAAAACTGTTAAGTCAGAACCTTTTGTAGAAGCCTTAGTACAAGCTAATGCTGGAACTGCGGTTCGTACAGCTGGAACATTCGAGGCTAATGTTGTAAAAACTGAGGTTGTGAGGAAGAATCTGCAGTCTATTGAGTTATCAACTAAGGGCCCTCCGGAATTACTTGAGCAAAAACCAATGAAATGTGAACCACTCCAAGAAATATCCATTACATCAGATGTGATTGCGCCCCAATCAGTTGGACAGCTTCAGGAGTGTTCTTCTTCTTCTTCTACACTGCCAATGCCTTTGACCCCTCAACAGGGATGCACTTCTAGATTGTCTACTTGTTCAGATTTGTCTGTGAGTGGTGGGGACTTGTCTACTCCATCTGAGTACTCTGTTCATACTAATGAACCTACTAGGAGTAAAAATGCTCTAGATCAGGCAAATGATGATATTGCTGCTCAAAATGCAGACTTTGACCTCAAAGAACTAAATGTATGCAGTGTTAAGGTGGAGGCATCTGTTTCTGGGAGCATGAATATTGAAGATCACACGGTATACAAAAAGACACAAGACACACATAATTTGGTTGCAAGTGGTGAGGGATCGGCAAATGATGGGGAAAAGATAAGTATATCAGCTTGTACAGAAGAAGAATGTTATGGTTCTGATTATGAATCTGATGGGCATCAGGCTTTTGCGGGTCATGTTGACACTGAGAGTGTGGGGTGTGTCAGAGAGGATGAGGAATATGAAGATGGCGAGGTCCGAGAACCAATGATGCAGTCGATTGTAGAAAACCCAATTGCTGAGGGGATGGATTCAGGAAAAAATAAAAATGATCATAAAGACATTAATCTGGGAGGTCCATTATTAGATAAAGATGAAACAACCAGAGATGATGAGCAGAGGCCTGTTAGTGCTATTTACCAAGGATCAGTTGATCAATCAGGAATAGCAGATGTGCAGGAGGGATGTGAAAAGGATGTCTTATGTGTCAGACCATCTGCTGGGAGCAGAGGAGCTGTCAGGAATGTTTTTGAGGCTAATAATGAGTATATTGGAAGATCTGATATGTCAGCAACAGCCCTTTCATCTTTGCAAAATGCTGAAACACCTGTTAATACTACCTGCAGTAAAGATTTGTCAAATTTTGGAAGCAAGAGCCGGATCATCAGTTTACCCCGTGCATCCGATGTGACATCTTCTAGTGATTTCAGACCTGTAACGGGCAGGTCGTTGTCTTCAAGAAGTGGAAGAGAGAGGTATTCTTATGCGGAGGAGGAGAAATTCCATCTACGAAAGAATAGGTGATTTTTCTCTTTATTGCTCTGTTTGATTTATAATTTTTTTATAATGCTGCTCAAGTCTTGACTGTTTCTTACTGCGCTTTTTCCAGGGATGAAATCTATGGTCATGGTTCTAAATTTGTGCTAGATAGGTCTCCAGACCGTTCATTTGGTAGCTCAAGGGGGGAATTCATGCGTGGAAGAGGGAGGGGCTCGGACCAATTTCACAGATCACGTAGAGATAGGGATTCTGGGCGTGATTTTGAAAGCTATGGAGGTGTAGCTGATTATCGCTTTAGACATAAACGTACAGCTGCTGTTGGGGAATATGAAAATGAACGTAATGCCTATGACAGTAGACTAGATGGTGCTGCCTTTGGTAGTAATAGGAGGAGGAAGCCATTAAATGATGACTTGCCTTCATTTCGACATCCACCTGCACGTCGACTGTCCCCCAATGGAAGAGATGATGCTGCCGCAATGGGCATTCAAATGCTTCGTAGAGCTCCCAGGAATATCAGCCCAAGCAGATGCACTGGTGAAGATGGCTCTGAGTATGTTGGCCCTTGGCATAGTGAGAAGTTTGACAGAAACTTTCCAGCAGATATTAGTGATCCTGTTTATAGTCACCAGCAATCTATGTATGATAGACCTGATGCTCATTTCGTTCAAGGTAATACAAGGTTTACCGCGATACAGAGAAGAGATTTCCCTCGAACTCAGTCTAAATCTCCTGTTAGATCCTGTACTTGGTCGTCTCCTCGGAGGAGATTGACGGAAGGATTGAATGGTCATCAAGATTCATCTCAGCACAGGTCTCCGGTTATGAGGGAAGATAGAATGAGGTCTTCTCCACAAACTTCTTTTACTAATGAAGCAATAGCTCCTCAAAGGCGTGACTCACCATCTTACACTGCTCGTCGTCTGAATGATATGAGGGATGTGGATGCTGTACAGGAGCACAGGCATCCCAGGTCTCTTTCTAACAGAAGAAGTCCACCTGATCAGGTATTTACTAGTACCAGTAGGAGAGTTGAGATTTTAGATCATCGGGAGAGGGCTGATGGTGATGCGTACTTAGATGGGCCGATACACACTGGTAGGTTTCCTGAGCTTCACAGTGGTGAAAGTACTGACAAAAGAAGGAAGTATGGCGAGAGGCAAGGAGGACATAGGCAAATAAGAAATGCTGAAGAGCAAGATGGTGGTAATTTTAGACAGAGTAAACAACTTTGGCATGAAGACCAATTTGATGTCTCCAGATTGAAGAAAAGAAGATTTTGACTTGATAGCTCACTGAACCTGTACTATTAGCAGTTGCCATGGGAAACACTGTTTTACAGAAGATGGTAACAGTAACATGCTCTTGTATTATAGAAGAAGAGAGATTTCTGAAAGCATCTAGATGAATGATAATTGTAGAAGAGAAAGAACGTGACTCTAGACTCAGTGGGGTATCTCCTTATCGAAAAACAGTTTTTGACTTAATAGATGATCTAACCTTGAATCTATGGGGAAGTACGCATTTATACATGTTTTTTGCTTCATTCTTGTTGCTAGTAGGCTGTTCAAGGAGCGTGCTTCTTACCATTGCTGCCTGTACTTTGTTGTTCCAGAAGGAGTAAAGAACTAGTTTAAGTTGCTCTACTATGCTTGGCATGAATACTGGTAGTTTATGTTGCTAATGTGGCATGCTGGCTTTGTGTATTGCTTATAAGGCCTTAAAATGCAGCTTCTAGTCACCCTTAACATAACTTGGAATGGAGCAGAGAGACCATTGGAGAGTTAGGGAAGCTTAGAATTCGTCTCTTGAGTTCTCTACAACTTCAGACTGATGAACACTTAAATGGACTGCTAGCAATAACAACTTGACAACACTAATCGCGCGGGGTAATATGACAGGTTTATAAGTAGGATAGTGTGAATGCAGACGGTACCCTGCCTTCCAAGGTAGAAAGACTTTGCGGTAGACTCAACTTTAGAATATGCATAATATAACGGTTCAAGAAAAAGGAATAAGTCATAGTAAAATACTAAAAACATGACAAAACATTCTTAGGAATAGTAACTACAATAAAATAGGATAATAGTTTAAGTACAAGAAACCATAAATCAAATAAAAGAAACTACAACAGTATTAGTATTACTATCACTAGAGTATGACAAGATAAGATACACCATACTCAACAACCTACTAGCATTCTAGTCGTCTCTTTCATAATTTTCAATCTAAGGTGATTCTAGTCGTTTCTTTCATAGTTTTCGATCTAAGGTGGACAAACATAAGAAAGTAGTTTGGTTAACTTGCATTCGTGCATAAAGGCAAGGAAAGAAGTATGACATATTTTTAAATATAAATTAATAATATCCCTTGATAGTATATCACTACTCCTCCCTCAGTCCATACTAGATGGACATATAGTATTAATTAAATCAGATGATCAATTTTTACTAATTTGTCCTTTATTTATATTAAGGCACATTAAGATAATTTATGAAAAATATGCTTAATAATATAGGGCATATGAATAAATATCATTAGAATAGATATAAAGTAATTATTGAACTCTTGAAAAAAGAAATATGTTTTTTTTTTTTTATTTACCCCTTTTAGGATTTTCATTTTTATTCTTTCTAGTTGACTTGAACCTACCATCTTCCGGAGTAGATGCACCCTATGATAAAGGGTGTTCTTTGTTGGAGATTTTACAAATATTTTACCATTACTAGTCTCTCTGCTCCTTAAAAACAATACACAAAGCCAGCATGCACATTAGAAACTTAAACTACTACCATTCATGCCAAGGAAGTTATTTTCAAGCCAGCACTGTAGAGTGTCTTAAAACTAGTTCTTTTCTTTTTCAAGAAAGACAAATTACAGGCAGCAATATTAAGAAGCGCGTTCCTTGGACAGCCTATTAGCGACAAGATTGAAGCAAAAACATGTATAAATGCATAGTTTCCCATAGATTGAAGGTTTGATGAGCTATTATGCCAAAAAGTGCTTTCAATTAGGAGATATTCTGTGTCTAAGTCGCGTTCTCTCTTCCACAATTATCATTCATCTAGATGGATTCAGAAATCTGCCTCAGTTCTATAATACAAGAGCATGCTGCTGTTACCCTTCTCTGTCTGCAAGGAACAGTCAGATATCAAGTCAAAATCTTCTTTTCTTCAATCTGGAGCATCAAATTCTTCTTCATGCCAAAGTTGTTCATTCGGTCTAAGATTACCATCTTCTTGCTCTTCGACATTTCTCATTTGCCTAGGTCCTCCTTGCTTCTCACCATTTTTCCTTCTTTCTTCACTACTTTCACCACTGTGAAGCTCAGGAAATCTACCAGTGTGTATTGGCCCATCAAAGTACACATCACCATCAGCCCTCTCCTGATGATCTAAAATCTCAACTTTTGGCCTATTAGTTCTAGTAAATACCTGATCAGGTGGACTTCCTCTGCTAGAAAGAGACCTCGTATGCCCATGCTCCTGTACAACATCCACATTCCTCATATCATTCAGACGACGAGCAGTATAAGATGGAGAGTCATGCCTTTGAGGAGCTATTTCTTCTTCAGTAAAAGAAGTTCGTGAAGAAGACCTCATTCTATCATTCCAGTACATAACAGGAAACCTGTGCTGAGATTAATCTTGATGACCATTCAATCCTTCCGTCAATCTCCTCGGAGGAAGGGACCAAGTACGGGATCTAACAGGAGATTTCAACCAGATTCGAGGGAAACCACTTCTCTGCATCGCAGTAGACTTTGTTTTACGTACCCTGAAAGAAATGTCGATCAGGTCCATCGTACATAGACTGTTGGTGACTATATACAGGATTACTAGTATCATCTGGAAAGTCTCTATTAAACTTCTCACTATGCCGAAGACCAGCACACACACAGCCATCTTCACCAGTGCATCTGCTTGGGCTGATATTCCTGGGAGCGCTATGAAGCATTTGAATGCCCATCATGGCAGCATCTTCTCTTCCATTTGGGGACAGTCGACGTGCAGGTGGATTCCGAAATGAATGCAAGGCGTCATTTAATGGATTCCTCCTCCTATTACTAGCAAAGGCACCACCATCTAGTCTACTATCATAGTCATTACGTTCATTTGCAGATTCCCAAACAGCAGCTGTACGATTATGTCTAAAGCGATAATCAGCTATACCTCCATAGCTTTCAAAATCACACCCAGAATACCAATCTCTACGTAATCTGTGAAACTGGCCCAGCCCTTCCCTCTTCCACGCATGAAGTTCCCCCTTGAGCTACCAAATGAACGGTCCTGAAACCTATCTCGCACAAATTTAGGACCATAACCGTAGATTCTCGCGGAAACAGATGCCTCCACTTTATCACTGGATACATTTAGTTCTTTGAGGTCAAAGTTTGCATTTTTAGTAGCAATATCAGAGTATTCAGATGGAGTAGACAAGTCCCCACCACTCACAGACAAATATGAAGTGCATCCCTGTTGAGGGGCCAAAGGCATTGGTTCACATTTCATTGGTTTTTGCTCAAGTAATTCCTTAGTCGACAACTCAATAGACTGCAGATTCTGCCTCACAACCTCAGTTTTTACAACATTAGCCTCAAATGTTCCAGCTGGACGAACCGCAGTTCCAGCATTAGCTTGTACCAAGGTTTCCACAACAAATTCTGACTAAACAGTTTTACAAGTAGGGGAATTCATGTTTCTCCTATTTTTCAGCAAACTTGAATTTGGACCAAAACTGTTGGAGTCTCCTTTAGCCAGTGAGTTAAATCCTCGTAAAGTACTACTAAGACTAAGACAAAGCACATCCCCAGACTTGTGTCGTAGGGCAGGATGTATTGATGAGATGGGAAAATTAAATTCCTGCTCACTAGCTCCAACAATTTGCTTCCCTTGTTTGGCAATAGCTTCCTCCGCGACAGAAACTTTTGTCGTACCTATAGCTTCCTGACCAGATAATGATTGTTTCAATGGATCGCCAACATTTCTTGAAGGACCGGAACTAGTATTAGGATGGATAGGCGCATTGGTCTTGCATCCATTTTCATTAGAAAAAGAGCATTCAGGATGGATAGGTGCACGGAGATAGAACATAGAGGACACCCTCTTCTTAATAGGAAGAAAACATGAAGAGTTACTAGACTGCCGAGCAAGAACTCCAGCAACAGTTTTACAAGTAGGGGAATTCATGTTCCTATTCAATGCCAGACTTTTCAGCAAACTCGAATTTGGATCAACACTGTTGGAGTCTACTTTAGCCAATGACTTCAGTAATGAGGAGTCAAACCCTCGTAAAGTACTACCAAGACTATGACGAAGCACATTTGCAGACTTGTGTTGTAGGGAAGGACGTGTTAATGAGATGGGAAAATTAAATTTCTGCTCAATAGCTCCAACAACTTGCTTTCCTTTATCACCATTAGAACCAATAACAGAAGTAGAACTAATAGGTGGCTTGCTGTCTAGTGAACTAGATGTCTTATGTAATAGATCAATTTGACTTGCATCTTCAACAGGAACAACATCTTTTGTCTTGGATTCATTTCCATTTGAAAAAGACCGTTCAGGACGGATAGGTGCATGAGGATAGATCATAGAGTACCACCTCTTCTTACTAGGAAGAATAGGCAAATAGTTACTAGACTGCTGGGCAACAACTCCAGGCTGCAAATATGTTGTGAACCGAGTGGGATATGTAAGGGCCTATGGACTAGAATTGGTGGAGACTAATTTAGTTGGGATTATTGGGCCGAGTAAAATGTTGGAGTGTTATTTGGGATCCCAGCCAAATTAGCATTTGGTTAAAAGGGCAAATGAGTTGGAAAGAAGGGTTTATGCATATTGTGAAACAAATTGTCAGATCCTCTCGTCTCTTTCTAGAGTCTAAGGTTCTCATCTCCATTCTTATCTCTATCTTTAGTTACTTGTTATTCCAGTATTTGGATTGTAATTCAATAGTTGAATTGTTGCCGTTGTAATTTGGATATTAGTAATTATATAATACTTTAGTATTTCAGTTGAGAATTCAGGTTCACTACAAAATACATGATGAAATAGAGTAATATTAAAAAACAAAGCAAGTATTACACAGTTAGACCAATTTTCAATAGCAAATAAGAAATCAGATTGAGACCTCTTCGTTCCCGGAAACTAGCATGATTCCAGAATCAGCTAAAGCTAAAGCTTTTCTTTTCATCTTGAGACGATATCAATCAAGTGGTAGAACACAACTGAAACCAGATATGCCAAAATATCAGTACAATACAAAAGAAGAGAAACAGAACATTCATACTGATTTCAATCTCAGCTGCTCAATTTAAAAGAAACGAAATTATCCTCCCTTACTTTACTCGACTTCGACCCTCTACAACTAGTTTGTTTTATTGGACTTCCTAGCTGCTCAATTTAAAAGAGACAGCAGGTTAAAAGAAATAATGTTGCAGTTGTGAAGGTACTGGTGCAATGGTCTAATCTTCGTCCGGAAGATGCAACTTGGGAGGACTACCAGTTCCTTAAGACAAAGTTTCCGGGGTTTGATTGTTGATCCTTGAGGTCAAGGATGAATTCATGGGAGCTGGAATGTTATGATCTGAGAAGTCCAATAAAACAAACTAGTTGTAGAGGGTCGAAGTCGAGTAAGGTAAGGGAGGCTAATTTCGTTTCTTTTAAATTGAGCAGCTGAGATTGAAATCAGTATGAATGTTCTGTTTCTCTTCTTTTGTATTGTACTGATATTTTGGCATATCTGGTTTCAGTTGTGTTCTATGACTTGATTGATATCGTATCGAGATGAAAAAAAAACTTTAGCTTTAGCTGATTCTGGAATCATGCCAGTTTCTGTGACGGAAGAGGTCTCAATCTGATTTCTTATTTGTTGTTGAAAATTGGTCTAACTGTGTAATACTTGCTTTGTTTTTTAATATTACTCTATTTCATCATGTATTTGCAGCCTGGAGTTCTTTCCGGGCAGTCTAGTAACTCATCTTTTCTTCCTTTTAAGAAGAGGTTGTATCTTCATGCACCTATCCATCCTGAATGCTCTTGTTCTTATGAAAATGAATCCAAGACCAAAGATGTTGTTCCTGTTGAAGATGCAAGTCAAATTGATCTGTTACGTAAGACATCTAGCTAGTTCACTAGACAGCAAGCCACCTATTAGTTCTGCTTCTGTTATTGGTTCTAACGGTGATAAAGGAAAGTAAGTTGTTGGAGCTAGTGAGCAGGAATTTAATTTTCCCATCTCATCAATACATCCTGCCCTACGACACAAGTCCATGGATGTGCTTCGTCTTAGTCTTGGTAGTACTTTTCGAGGGTTTGACTCCTCAGTACTGCAGCCATTGGCTAAAGTAGACACCAACAGTGTTAGTCCAGGTGGAACATTTGAGGCTAATATTGTAAAAACTGAGGTTGTGAGGCAGAATCTGCAGTTTATTGAGTTGTCAACTGAAGAGCCAATCCAAGAAGTTAGCCTGGAAATATCCATGACATCAGATGTGATTGCTCACCATTCAGTTGGAAGGATTTTGCCGGTTCAGGAGAGTTCTTCTTCTTCTTCTACACTGCCAATGCCTTTGGCCCCTCAAAAGGGATGCACTTCTAGATTGTCTGTGAGTGGTGGGGAAGCTGATATTGCTGCTAATGATGCTCTAGATCAGGCAAATGCTGATACTGCTGCTAAAAATGCTAACGTTGACCTCAAAGAACTAAATGTATCCAGTGATAAAGGGGAGGCATCTTTTTCCGTGAGCATGAATATTGAAGATCACACGGTATACAAAAAGACACAAAACATACATAATTTGGTTGCAAGTGGTGAGGGGTCTGCAAATGATGGGGAAAAGATAAGTATATCAGCTGGTACAGAAGAAGAATGTTATGCTTCTGCTTATGAATCTGATGGTTATCAGGCTTTTGCAGGACATGTAGACACTGAGAGTGTGGGGTGTGTCAGAGAGGATGACATATATGAAGACGGTAAGATCCGAGAACCAATGATGCAGTCAATTGCAGAAGACCCAATGGCTGAGGGGATGGATTCAGGAAAAAATAATGAATCTTCAAGTAAAAATGTTCATTCTTCTCTTTGCTTCACTAATGAAGAAAAAAGTTACAGTATGCCACTTCATACTGAGTCTTATGATGACTTTGTGAAAGCCTGTGATGAGAAAGCTGAAAAACTTCATCAGAAAGACAGTAATCTGCGAAGTCCATTATTAGATAAAGAGGAAACAACCGGCGGTGATGAGCAGAGGCCTATTGGCGCTATTTATAATGTGACATTTTCTAGTCATTTCAGTTTACCACGTGCATCCGATGCTACATTTCAGTTTACCATGTGGAAGAGAGAGGTATTCTTACATGGAGGAGGAGAAATTCTATCTACAAAGGAATAGGTGATTTTTCTTTTATTTATTGTTGTTTGGTTTGTAATTTGTTTTTATAATGCTGCTCAACTCTTGACTTTTTATTACTGTGTTTTTTCCAGATATGAAATCTATGGTTAGGTCCTAAATTTGTGCGAGATAGGTTTCAGGACCGTTCATTTGGTATCTCAAGGGGGAACTTCATGAATCATGCGTGGAAGAGGGAGGGCTGGGTCCAGTTTCACAGATTACATAGAGATTGGTATTCTGGGTGTGATTTCGAAAGCTATGGAGGTCTAGCTGATTATCACTTCAGACATAAACGTAATGACTATGAAAGTAGACTAGATGGTGCTGCCTTTGCTTGTAATAGGAGTAGGATTCCATTAAATGATGACTCGCCTATATTTAGTTATCCGCCTGCACGTCGACTGTCCCCCAATGGAAGAGATGCTGCTGCCATGATGGGCATTCAAATGAATATCAGCCCAAGCAGATGCACTGGTGAAGATGGCTCTGAGTATGTTGGTCTTCAGCATAGTGAGAAGTTTAATAGATTCTTTCCAGCTGTTTATAGTCATCAGCAATCTATGTACGACGATGGACCTGATCACCATTTCGTTCAGGGTAATACAAAGTTTACCGAAATCAAGAGAAGCTGTTTCCCTTGAATGCAGTCTAAATCTCCTGTTAGATCCCGTACTTGGTCCTCTCATCGGAGGAGATTGATGGAAGGATTCAATGGTCATCAAGATTCATCTCAGCACAGGTCTCCAGTTATGTACAGGGAAGATAGAATGAGGTCTGAAGAAGCAATAGCTCCTCAAAGGCGTGACTCTCCATCTTATATATAGTGCTCGTCGTCTGAATGATAATAGGGATGTGAATGCTGTACAGGAGCATGGGCATCCGAGGTCTCTTTCTAGCAGAGGAAGTCCACCTGATCAGGTATTTACTAGAACCACTAGGAGAGTTGAGATTTAGATCATTAGGAGAGGGCTGGCGGTAGATGTCCTGAACTTCACAGTGGTGAAAGTACTGACGAATGAAGGAAGTATGGCAAGGGGAGAGGAGAACCTATGCAAATGAGAAACGTCGATGAGAAAGAAGGTGGTAATTTTAGACAGATGAACAACTTTGGCATGAAGAAGAATTTGATGTCTCCAGATTGAAGAAAAGAAGATTTTGACTTGATAGCTCACTGAACCTGTAATATTAGCAGTTTCCATGGGAAATAGTACTGTTTTATAGACTTATGTGTGGCTTAGATAAGATGAAATTAAGAACTTACAAGTAATATTTGTATATAATATGTTTTGAAATATAACACCTCGTATTATTGCATCAACGAATTACATAGTTTAAACATATCTTTAGCATCTTGTATGATCAAATCTCTCAAGAGATTTCATTTAACAAAAAGATTGAAAATCTAGCTAAACTACCAGCTATTATGTTCAAACACCTAGGAATATATATAAATTTGACATGACTGAACATGCTAATTGAAAGCTTTCAAATGTCTTCATATATCACTTTATCTCTCATGAAGTAGTCACTCGTTTCTGAATCATATCAACAACATTTTTAGCATTAGATATAATCTTCACTAACTTCCGTCCCTTGCTGATAGCATATTTAAGAGCTTTCCTAATAGCAATCGCTTCAACAGTCATGACTTATTCAGGAAAAGAGTTAGCATTTAAAAAACAAGTCATATGTACTACCTACCGATAGTAAAATCAGTCATATTTTCAATATTAGTCCAATAGGACATTGCTTTCACACAAGTTGAGACTGAAGACATTTAAATAACATATGTTCTTCCAAGACCACAAATTCTACAAGTATTATCCACATTGTTTAGTCTTTTTGCTAAATTACTATGGACGGGAAAAGAGCTAAGCACACATTTTCTTAAAAAACATATTTTAAGATTATTTTTAACTACCAACTTCTATAGGAAGTCCCAAAAACGTTTAGGAAAAGAGTGACAACTCGCTTGAGCTTCCAAATTTTTCACTGTCCCAAAAACTTCATAGTTTCATGTTATTGTATGGTGTCATATTAATCTATCATTAGAACCTGTAATAGAAACTGGGATGGACAACACAACATTGACATCTTTAGCTTTAAAAATCGAATGTAGCTCCTGTAGTTTTAATGTGTGCATATTCTCATCAATTAAATCGGACAAAATCTAAATTTGATATCTAAGGATCTATCCAAACACTAATATTTTTCCATAAGAAATCCTCCACCTTAATCCTTTAGTCAAAAGATCTCTTCCTTACAAAATTTCCTTCCATATCCATGATCTAGAAGATGATGTTGAATCTTTAAGAAAGGTTGAGTTTGGACATCACAGTATATATATATATATATATATTTTGATGGTATCAAGCAGTAAACGTGAATTTGTTGTTAAAAATAGGGGTATGAAAGTAAAGGGTAGCCGTTTGTAAATAGTTTTCCTTTTTGGGTACGAGTGTCCTTTTCCCTCCAAAAAAGGAACAATTAAATAGCACACACTATTTTGTTGTTGTTATTGTTCTTTCTTGTACACTTTACACTGCTTTTCTTGTCGATTGCTATGTTTTTTTTTATTGTTTTCTCTTTCTTTCACTTGGATTTGATGCACTTGAGACAAAGGTCTTTCGTAAATATATTAGGTTGGATCTAATTTGGGTAAATACTTTACCTAATAGATCCAATTTGTGTAGTTTTCCATTTTTTTGGCTTATGTGGTTGTAGGTGCTACGAGCTAGAGGAGTGTGATTTATTGACTAGTGTTTAAGTTGTGTTCCTATGACTTGATTGATATCGTTTCGAGATGAAAAATAAAGCTTTAGCTTTTGCTGATTCTGGAATCATGCCAGTTTCCGGTAATGAAGAGGTCTCGATCTGATTTCTTATTTGCTGTTGAAAATTGGTCTAATTGTGTAATACTTGCTTTGTTTTTTAATATTACTCTATTTCATCATGTATTTGCAGACTGGAGTTCTTGCCCGGCAGTCTAGTTACTCTTCGTCTGTTCTTCCTAGTAACAAGAGGTTGTATCTTCGTGCACCTATATCCATCCTGAATACTCTTTTACTAATGAAAATGAATCCAAGACCAAATATTTTAAGACCGAGGACATTTGAATAACATATGTTCTATATCTTCTCCAAAGTAGTAAGTAACCTGATTTAGCTTCATAGTTTTCTGCTGTTGTATGGTGCTATATTAACCTATCATCGGATAGAAAATATAGCATCGACATCTTCAACTTAAAAAAATGTATTTAACTATTGCATTTTTCATGTGTGAATATTTGTTGGGTTTTAAAAAGTGTGAATGGAAAATGAAGAGTTATGATTTTTATAAGGAGTTGTGACTTTTCCAAATAGTTGTGACTTTTATGAAGAGTAGTGACTTTTCTGAAGAGTTGTGACTTTTCTAAACAGTAGCGATTTTTCCGTAGAGTTGTGATTTTTTCAAAGGATTATGACATTTCCAAAGGGTTGTGATCTTTCTGATAAGGCACAATAAACACCCATTTACACTACCCTTTGTTGTCTATAAATAGAGGGGTTTTCTCTTATTTTTCAACCACGAATTTCTAGACTTCTTCTTCTTCTACTACTAAATCTAGTATTCTAAGTGTACTTTATTGCCGTTAAGTGGTTCACTGACATCGTGATTTTAGGTACTGATACACCGATGAGTAATATCGTTCTATCTTGGGAGGATATATTTCATTAACCTCGGGTACTTGAGGGGAATAATTTCCTTAAGGACACATTGAGCATTCAGTGGGATCGATTTTTTTCTTTGAGAAAAATATTTTGTATATTATTTCTAATCTTTAAGTTTCTAGTTTTGAAAATACTCTTTAAACTTTGTTGTTTCTTACCAAATTCTCAAAATGCATCTTTCTTTTCTCCTTTATTTCTCCCCACCAGTAATTTGAAAAGAGGGATGTAAATTCCTTATACAGATCATCACGGAGTTGGAAACAAGACAAAGCATATGTAAGGATCGCTGCTAGTACAAACTTAAGCACAATCTCTTTTCCCGCAATACTTGAAAAATTTAGCCTTCCATCCTTTTATTTTTGTCTTGACTCTCTCCTTTATAAACTCTAGCATCGTTTCTTGAAATGTCCCACAACAGCCAGGAAACACAAATACAAAGCCATGCCATTTATTTATCGTTGTCCAAGCAACAACGATATCTCAACTTTCTCCTCCTCTCTCACATTTTTACTAAAACAGATTGTTTATTTATCTAGATTAACCACTTATCCAGAGCTTCAATTATATTTCCTTAAAATATCGGCAGCACAACCTGCATTTTGATTGTTAATTGAACAAAATATAAAGGAGTCATCGACAAAAAGTAAATGAATTATGCTTAGCCCATATCTATTCAACTTTAGCCCTTGGATTTCATTTTGTTCCTCTCATATAAGCATCATAGAGAAGACAAAATTAATATTTGCTTGAAAAGACTTATCTGGATAATTAATTAATGTTCAATGATAAATTTGGTAAGAATATCTATAAGTTTCTCTGCAAACCCTAACTAGGATTTTTATATTTATATATAAGAAGAATTATCTGACATTATACTAAAAGGAAACATCAACAAAATTCAGCAAGTAAACTCTTGTCTCCCCTTTTTTGTCTATGTTTTTTTTCACTCATTTTTTGCTCATTCAATACTCTTTTTGCTAATCAAGAACAGAGAAAAAGGTTCTCATTTGATTCCTATATATATATCTATATATGTGTGCGCGCGCGCCATTTAATTGTTCCGTTTTATTTGGGGTGTTTTTTATGTTTTGTTTCAAGTGAAGTTTTGTTTTTTGTTCTTGAATTTTTGGATTTTTACCTAATATACGATTTGATGAGTGATAAATATTGGTTTTGTTGTTACCTGATATAGGATCTATATATGTTCAATCAATCAATTAGCTATGCCTCAATCCGAACCTAGTTGAATTTACTGGTAATGTCAGGATTTTTCTGTCTATTTTGTAGAATTCTGATGATTTTCTCTGATTTTTCATTAATTTAGATAAAGTGTTTTGAGGTCTAATACCTGTTAATTGTTAGTAGTAAATTAGTTTGTTTGATTTGTTTATCATTGGATGGTTGTTACTCATTAGCCATTGTATTGTACTGCATTGTTAGATACAATTTTTTAAAAAAAGCAAATTTACTACTAGATAGTGTCTAGCGGCCTTTTATTAAACATCAAAAATATCAATGGGTTAAGTGCAAGCAAGGGGGGCTAGGCCTTACTAATCCTAATGAAGTACCTAACTTCTACTACCTAACAAGTATAAAGAAAATAAGAGCTAGAGAGAACTAAATATTTTCTGATCACCACAGAGTTTGTAATACACTCCATGATGATATTACAAATGAGGATGCTTAAATAATGTAAAAATATGCCAATCAAGAAGAAGTTGAGTTTTCAGCCTCAAACTTTCTATTACAAAAGCATGAATTAAAAAGATTGATTGCCCATCAAAAGTAACTTGAAGTATTTTTCTCTTGTCTTCTTCTTCAATCCTAGCCAACAACACTTGATAATTCATACTTTCTTTATGGATTTATTGGATCTTGTTGAACCTATTGATACTGTCAAATGGTTCTGCTTTGCCTGTCGCATCGGTAGGTGCCTTGGAAAAAACTCCTCAGTCATTTTACCGTCTCAACTGTGTTGCCTTCCGTGTGTCTTCTTTTTGCTTTTGTTGCTTCTTTGTTGCCTAGGCGATATATCCCCTTCCCTAGCCACTTTATCAAAGCATATGTCCAGCATATTGTCTTCCTCATCTTCATCAAGAGAATCCTCGCCTAAATCAAGCATATTGTCTTCCTCATTTTCATCAAGAGAATCCTCGCCCAAATCAATAGTATTTAACACTAAGGCCCTTGACTCATTCTTCTTTGCAATCACACATTTAGGCCCAAATACGAGAGCTTCTGGACTTAATTTTCTATTCAAAACAAGTGGTGAGACCTGCTTTTCTTGGATCAAATCGTTGTCATTCTCTGTTAACTTTACTTGCTTTCCAGCAGTCTTCAATAAAGCATCAAAGTTATTCGAACATAATATATCTCTTGAGGCATTACTAATATCTTGTCTCTTCTCAGTGTCATGAAAATTCTCAGTCGCACCCTTTTCACTACATGGAGAATTATTTTGACTAGTCAGGGAAAGGGTCCGATTACTAGTTGAAATTTTGTGTGCAACCAGTGTCCAGTTTTTAGTTGCATTCTTGTTTTCAATTTGCAGAACATGTTGCCTAGAGTTTTCAGCATCTTCAATATCAGATGTATCCATTAGTTTTTGTCCTAAATCCATTAATTTTTTGCCTGAACCAAGTCGCGGCGCATCAACCCCAACTCTTGGTGTTCCCCCTGCGTTTTTAGTTGCATTAGACATCAAATTCAGCCCAACTTCTTTTGATTGCACCTCATAAGTAGCAGCCTGTTGGTTATTGCAATCACCTTTATTTTCGGTAGTTGTTTGAACACCAATATTACTTGTATCAACAACCATTGAGTCTGCACGATTTTGGTCAGAAGTGGCAACAACCAATTGTCGATCTAAAGAAGTAGCTTTACTTTGTTCGACATCTACAATCTTTCTTTTTTCATTTAGTATTTCTCTCGCATCACCTTGATACTTTTCACTATCAATAGTTCCTTTTAAAGCAACTTCAATGGTATCATCAATTTGTTTGTTATTTTGATTTCTTTTCGAGATCAAACGACAACTATCTTCATCATGACCGTGGTGCTTACAATAATTGCAATACAAAGGTAGATTATCATATACAATCTCCTGAAAAATCTCAATCATTGTTAGATACAATATTTTTACTTCTTTTATGTTTTTTTTTGTGAGTATGAATGTTCTGTTTCTCTTCTTTCATATTGTATTTGATATTTTCCCATGTCTGGTTGCAGGGTTCTACTAGAGAAGTGTGATCTTGTGTTTGAGTTGTGTTCTACGACTTAGTTGTGCTTGATTGATATCGTCTCGAGATGGAAAGAAAAGCTTTAGCTTTAGCTGATTCTGGAATCATGCCAGTTTCCAGGAACGAAGAAGTCTCAATCTGAATTCTTATTTGCTATTGAAAATTGGTCTAACTGTGTAATACTTGCTTAGTTTTTTTAATATTACTCTATTTCATCATGTATTTGCAGCCTGGAGTTGTTGTCTGGCAGTCTAGTAACTCTTCGTCTCTTCTTCCTTATAAGAAGAGGTACTCTGTGCTCTATCCACATGCACCAATCCATCCTTTAAGAAATGTTGATTCTGGAATCATGCCAGTTTCAGGGAACGAAGAGGTCTCAATCTGATCTCTTATTTGCTGTTGAAAATGATTTTTAACTGTGTAATACTTGCTTTGTTTTTTAATATTACTCTATTTCGTCATGTATTTGCAGCCTGGAGTTGTTGCCCGGCAGTCTGGTAACTCTCTTCTTCCTTATAAGAAGAGGTACTATTTGCTCTATCCTCGTGCAACTATCCATCCTTCAAGAAATGTTGACGATCTAGTGAAACCAGCATTGGCTGAAAAATTAGCTGGCCAAGAAGCTGTAGGTACGGCAAAAGTTTCTGTCAAGAAGGAAGTTGTTTCCAAACAAGGGGAAAGCCACAGTAAACTTGAACTTCCAGCTGACTCAGGGCACATTGAACTGTCATTATGCCCAATGAAACTTCATGTTTCTTCTTTGGTTGATTCAAATACTATGCGAAGTTGTCTGATGCATGGAACAGTAAATCCTTCATTGCTTTCTCCGTCTTTGAATAACAATAACGCTGATGATACTGCATGCACTAATAGATTTAATTGGGATCTGAATATTCCCATGGATTTATGGGAGGCTTCTGGTGATGATTTGGTTGCAAGTGGTGAGGGGTCGGCAAATGATGGGGAAAAGATAAGTACAGAGGAAGAATGTTATGTTTCTGATGCTTTTGCGGGACGTGTTGACACTGATAATGTGGGGTGTGTCAGAGAGGATGACATATATGAAGACGGTGAGATCCGAGAACCATTGATGCAGTCAATTGCAGAAGACCCAATGGCTGAGGGGATGGATTCAGGAAAAAATAATGAAGAAAAAGGTTACAGTATGCCACTTCATACTCATGAGTCTCATAATAACTTTATGAAAGCCTGTGATGAGAAATCTGAAAAAATTCTTCATAATGTCGCTGTCTTCAGACCTGTAACGGGTAGGTCACTGCCTTCAAGAAGTGGAAGCGAGAGGTATTCTTATATGGAGGAGCAGAAATTCCATCTACAAAGGAATAGGTGATTTTTCTTTTATTTGGTGATTTTTATAATGCTGCTCAACTCTTGATTTTTTATTACTGTGCTTTTCCCAGAGATGAAATCTATGGTTATGGTCCCAAATTTGCTCGAGATGGGTTTCAGGACCGTTCATTTGGTAGGTCAAGGGGGAGCTTCATGCATGGAAGAGGTATGGGCTGGGGATGGGGCCGGGGCCGGTATTCTGGGCGTGATTTTGAAAGCTATGGAGGTGTAGCTTATTATCCCTTTAGACATAAACGTACAGCTCCTGCTTGGGAATCTGCAAATGAACGTAATGACTATGATGGTGCTGCCTTTGGTACTAATAGGAGGAGGAAGCCATTATATGATGAATTGCCTTCATTACGGCATCCACCTGCACGTCGAAAGTCCCCCAGAGGAAGAGAAGATGTTGCCATGATGGGCACTCAAATGCTTCGTAGAGCTCCCAGGAATATCTGCCCAAGAAGCTGCACCGGTGAATATGGCTTTGCGTATGTTGGTGTTCGGCATAGTGAGAAGTTTAATAGATACTTTCCAGCTGATAGTCACCAGCAGTCTATGTACGATGGACCTGATAGTCATTTCGCTCAGGGTGATACAGAGTTTACTGCGATGCAGAGAAGCGGTTTCCCTCGAATGTGGTCGAAATCTCCTGTTAGATCCTGTACTTGGTCCCTTCCTCCCAGGAGACTGACAGAAGGATTGAATGGTCGTCAAGATTTATCTCAGCACAGGTCTCCAACTATGTACAGGGAAGATAAAATTAGGTCTTCTTCACGAACTTCTTTTACTGAAGAAACAATAGCCCCTCAAAGGCGTGACCCTCCATCTTATACTGCTTGCCGTCTGAATGATATGAGGGATGTGGATGGTGTACAGGAGTACGGGAATCCGAGGTTTCTTTCTAGCAGAAGAAGTCCACCTGATCAGGTATTTACTAGAACCAATAGGCAGAGAGTTGAGATTTCAGATCATCATGAGAGGGCTGATGGTGTTGGGTACATTTATGGGCCGATACACACTGGTAGTTTTCCTGAGCATCACAGTGGCGAAAGAAGTAAGTATGGCGAGAGGCAAGGAGGACCTAGGCAAATGAGAAATGTCAAAGAGCAAGAAGGTGGTAATCTTAGACTGAGGCATGAAGAAGAATTTGATGGCTTCAGATTGAAAAAAAGAAGATTTTGAGTTGATAGCTCACTGAACCTGTAATATTAGCAATTACCATGGGTAGGAGCAACATGCTCTTGTATCATAGAAGTAGACAGATTTCTGAACCCATCTAGATGAATGATAATGGTCAAAGAGAAAGAAGGCGACTTAGACACAAAATATCTACTTATTGAAAGCACTTTTTGGCTTAATAGCTCATCAAACCTTGAATTTATTGGGAACTATGCATTTATACATGTTTTTGCTTCAATAAAATAACTTCCTTAGTTTAAGTTGCTAATGTGCATGCTGGCTTTGTGTATTGTTATTGTCTATGTTTTTTTCACTCATTTTTTGCTCATTTAATACTCTTTTTGCTGTCTAAGAACAGAGAAAAAGGTTCTCATATGTTTCCTACATCTATATATTGTGTGCTATTTAATTGTTTCTTTTTCTGGGGTGTTATATATCTGTGCTATTTAATTGTTCCTTTTTTTGGGGTGTTTTTGATGTTTTTTTGGGTAAAGTTTTTTGTTATTATTATTATTGGATTTTCAAACTAATCAAAAAAAATATCTACCACTTCAGAAATCGCCCCCTTTTTTTAATTAGCTTTCTTAAATTAACTTGATAATAAATTTAGGAGCAATCTTTTCTTCTAGATTCTTTACCTATGCATAATTGTTAACATTATAAATTCTTTATTAGAATGATAAATAATATTTGTATATAATAAGTTCGACTCTATCCTCGTTGCTCACCTCATTGACATACCTCATTGTATATAATAAGTTTGAATATTTTCAAACTCAATAATTTTATTTGTTTTTACTTGCTTGAGTCAATGTTTGTGACATGAACACTTGAGACATGTCAATTACGAAATCATGCATGATAAACTAATCAATTTAGACGTTTTGTCTAACTTTGAGTGCAATAAAGAAAAATGTCAAGTTTGTGTTGAATCTAAGTATGCTAAGCATATTCTTATAAATTTGTTGAAAGGAATTTTAACCCCTTGAGTTGATTTGCACTGACATTTGTGATATGAAGTCAACACCATCTCGTGGTGGGAAAAAGTATCTCATAACTTTTATTGACAATTGCATTAGATACGGTTATGTCTATTTGCTGAATAGTAAGGATGAAGCAATAGGAACGTCTAGACAATATAATTTTGAAGTTGAAAATCAGTTGGAAAAAAGATAAAAATTGATAGGGATGGAGAGTATAAATCTCATTTTGCAAAAATATGTTCGGAAAGTGGGATTATCCATCAAACTACTGCCATATTAACCTCAATCTAATGGAGTTGCAGAACGAAAAAAAAAATCAAACTTTGAAGGAATGATGGCTGCATTACTTATAAGTTTAGGTTTACCACAAAACTTGTGTGGAGAAGCTATCCTTACAACAAATGGAACAACAAAAAGTTTTGTTTGTTCAGAAAGAAAGCAATAAAAAGTTTTGTTTGTTCAGGACACAATCTATTCCATATGAGAAATGGAAAGGATGGAAATCCAACTTGAAATATTTCAAAGTGTGGGGGTGTCTAGCCAAATTCCAAGTTCCTATCCCAAAAGGATCAAAATAGGAGCTAAGACTGTGGATTGTAAAATTAGACTTTAGTAGTCTAGTGAAGGGTCTAGAAGACCTTGAAAAGAACCAAAGGAGAATGTATTTAATAAAGAGATTCAGAGGCGCAGTAAATGTCAAAGGACATCTACTTCCTTCAGATTTGATTTTATAACATTTTATATGTCTTCCGTGGGCTTATCTTTTTGGGAAGATGGTGTCAATAGTGAGATTGATTCAATCTTGAGCAATCATATTGGAAGTTGATTGATCTTCCTCCAAGAAATAAACCTTTGAGTTCAAAGTGAATCTTTAAAAGGAAAATGAAAGCTGATGGGACTATTGCCAAATATAAGGCTAGACTTGTAATCAAATGATACATACAAAGGGAAGGCCTCGATTGCTTTTATACATACTTTTCAGTAACAAGGATAACATCTATTTGGGTGTTAATAGCACTCGCGGTCATGCATGATCTTGAAATCCATCAAATGGATATTAAGACAACCTTCTTAAATGGAGAGTCGGAGGAAGAAATTTACATGAAACAACTTAAGGGGTTTGTAGTTCCTGATTAAGAAAAGAAAGTGCACAAACTTGTTAAGTCACTTTATGGGCTCAATGAAGCACCCAAACAATGACATGCTAAATTTGACCAAACGGTGTTGACAAATGGATTCAAGATTAATGAGTGTGATAAATGTGTCTACATTAAAAACATTCTGAATCATGAAGTCATTGTTTGTTTATATGTTGATGACATATTAATAATGAGTAAAAATATTGACGATATAAATGCTACTAGGCACATGTTGTCCAGCAAGTTCACTATGAAGGACTTGGGAGTTGTTGATTTGATCTTAGGAATCAGAAATATTCATAAAACTCATTAAGGATTAGCATTATCTCAATCTCATTATATTAGAAGAGTATTGGCTAAGTTCAAATACTTGAATTTCAACAACAAGACTCCAATTGGTATAAGTTTTATATTTCAAAAGAATGAAGGTGAAAGTGACTCTCAATTAGACTATGCCAGAGTGTTGAGAAGTTTGATGTATATTATGAATTGTACGCGACCAGATATAACATGTGCTATTAGCAAGCCGGGTAGGTTCACTAGTAATCCTAACCAAACTCACTGGATGACAATGAAATGTGTACGTGTTGGGGTATCTGAAACATACACAACACTATGTCTTGCATTTTAATAAATATCATACCATGATTGAAGGATATAGTGATGCAAATTGGATCACCGGGTCAAATGAAGTAAAAATCCACAAATGGATATGTATTTACTCTTAGTGGAGGAGCAGTCTCTTGGAAATCATGTATCGCTTGCTCTACAATGAAATTTGAGTTTATTGCTCTAGATAAGGCTAGTGAATAAGTTGAATGACTCCATAACTTCTTGAAATATATTCTTTTTTGGCCCAAACCTTTGGCATCAGTATGCATACACTTTGATAGTCAAGATGCAATAGGTAGGGCATGGAGCATGATGTATAACAGAAAGTCTCATCATATAATACGTAGACATAATACCGTTAGAAAACTACTCTCTAGTGGAATTATCACAATTGAATATGTAAAGTCAAAGGATAATGAGTTAGATCTACTAACAAAAGGCCTAGTTAGAGAGACAATTGAAAGATTGTTTAAGTGAACTGGTTTACGGCTTAGGACAAGTCATCATGACTATAACTCTACCTAGTAGACTGGAGATTCAAAGAGCTAGGTTCAAGGATAAAACAAAGTTGTGACTGACGGTTCAACATTGTCCACCAACTCAATCCATTTTCATGATGAAGACAATGCTCATGAACAAGGATAAAACATTAAGGCTTGTTAACGAGTTGATAAAGATTAAAGTTTTTAATGATTTGCTAAGTTTGGCAAATTTGACCAAATAGTGTATCTACGCAATAACATGTGTTAGAAATCAATTATATGAGTGTGAAGTGGAAGCCTCTTCAAAGAGATTCATTTTATATAGCCTATTCTCTATACACTTCTGAAACCAAGAGGTGTTTATGGATGAAACAAATACAACCGTAAGAATCATAAACAGTAAAGGGTTGATAGTATGACATATGGTTGTCTAGGTATACACCAAAGCTCGACGGTTTCAAGAATATCACATCTAGCGATTGATCGAGTATATCCGACATATGTTCACTACGGAAAGTTCAAAGGAAAACCTACTTATCCAGTTGCAATTAATTCTTGCTTGTAAAGTATACACACTTGTTCATTTTTTTTGTCTTTGAGTCATTCTCCATTCATGCGGGGGATTGTTGGGTTTTAAAATGTATGAATGGAAAATGAAGAGTTGTGACTTTTATGAAGAGTTGTGACTTTAATGAAAAATTGCTACTTTTATGAGGAGTTGTGACTTCTATGAAAAGTTGTGACTTTTAAAAAAGGCAGTGACCTTTTCGAAAGATTGTGACTCTTCCAAAGGGTTGTGACCTTTTCGGTAAGGAACAATAAGTACCTTTTCACACTACCCTTTGTTGTCTATAAATAGAGGGATTTTCTCTCATTTTAAGAGAACTAATTTTCTGAACTTCTTTTTCTACTACTAAATCTAATATTCTAAATGCACTTTACTGTTGTTGAGTGGTTTGCTGACACAGTGGTTATAGGTACCGATACACCGGTGAGTAAGATTGTTCTATCCTGGGAGGATATATTCCATTAACTTCGGGTACTTGAGGGGAATAATTTCCTTAAGGAGACACTGTGCATTCAGTGAACTCGATTTTGTTCTTTGAGAAAAATATTTTGTATATTGTTTCTAATCTGTTTCTGATTCTATTTTCTCTACTGGTTTTAATTTTCTAGTTTTGAAAATACTCTTTAAATTTTGTTGTTTCTTACCAAGTTCTCCGAAGTTTTTGTTCTAAGTATCTTAGAAATATAGGATGAACAACAAGCCAGTTTTCGGGAACGGAGAGGTCTCAATCTGATTTCTTATTTGCTGTTGAAAATTGGTCTAACTGTGTGATACTTGCTTTATCTTTTAATATTACTCTACTTCATCATGTATTTGCAGCCTGGAGCTCTGCCCATCAGTTGAGGCTGTTGAAAATTGGTCTAAATGTGTGATACTTCCTCTCTCATATATTTACTAAAACAGATTGCTGATTTATCTAGATTAACCACTTGTCCAAAGCTTCAATTATATTTCCTTAAAATATCGGCAGCACAACCTGCATTTTGATTGTTAATTGAACAAACTATAAAGAAGTCATCGACAAAAAGTAAATGAATTACGCTTAGACCATATCTATTCAACTTTAGCCCTTGGATTTGATTTTGTTCCTCTCATGTAACCATCATAGAGAAGACAAAATTAATATTTGCTTGAAAAGACTTATCTGGATAATTAATTAATGTTCAATGATAAATTTGGTAAGAATATCTATAAGATTCTCTACAAACCCTAACTAGGATTAATATATATATATATAAAAGAATAATTATCAGACATTCTACTAAAAGGAAACATCAAACAAAATTCAGCAAGTAAACTCTTTTCTCCCCTTTTTTGTATAGGTTTTTTTCACTCATTTGTTGCTCATTCAATACTCTTTTTGCTAATCAAGAGTAGAGAAAAAGGTTCTCATTTGATTCCTATATATATATGTGTGTGTGTGTGTGACATTTAATTGTTCCTTTTTATTTGGGGTGTTTTTGATGTTTTGTTTCAGGTGAAGTTTTGTTTTTTGTTCTTGAATTTTTGGATTTTTACCTGATATACGATCTGATAAATATTGGTTTTGTGTTACCTGATATAGGATATATATTTGTTCAATCAATCAATCAACTATGCCTCAATTCGAACCTAGTTGAATCTACTTGATATATGATATATATATACGATCTGATAAGTGATAAATATTGGCTTTGTGTTACCTGATATATGATCTAATATGTTCAATCAATCAATCAACTATGCCTCAATTCGAACCTAGTTGAATTTACTGGTAATGTCAGGATTTTTCTATCTGTTTTGCAGAATTCTAATGATTTTCGCTGATTTTCCATTAATTTAGATCTTTAAGGTTCGATACATGTTAGTTCTTAATAGTAAATTAATTTGTTTGATTTGTTTTTCATTGGATGGTTGTTACTCATTAGCCATTTTTAGATACAATATTTGTTTCACTTCTTTTATATTTTTTTTTTGAGTATGAATGTTCCTTTTCTCTTCTTTCATATTGTATTTGATATTTTCACATTCTGGTTGCAGGGTGCTACTAGAGGAGTGTGATCTTCTGTTTGAGTTGTGTTCTACGACTTGGTTGTGCTTGATCAATATCGTCTCGAGATGGAAAGAGAAGCTTTAGCTTTAGCTGATTCTGGAATCATGCCAGTTTCCAAGAACGAAGAGGTCTCAATCTGATTTCTTATTTACTAATGAAAATTGGTCTAACTGTGTAATACTTGCTTTGTTTTTTTAATGTTACTCTATTTCATCATGTATTTGCAGCCTGGATTTATTGCCCGACAGTCTAGTAACTCCCTGTCTCTTCATCCTTATAAGAAGAGGTACTCTGTGCTCTATCCTCATGCACCTATCCATCATTCAAGAAATGTTGATTCTGGAATCAAGCCAGTTTCAGGGAACGAAAAGGTCTCAATCTGATCTCTTACTTGCCAATTTTGCTGAATCAGTTCTCTCAAATGAGAGTTCTTCCATTAAATAGAAAGAAATCTGATTTACATGCCTAAAAATATACTATATATCCTTTAATATATGCTATTTCTAATTGTAATATCTCTGAAAATATGCTACATTAATCTATGCTATCTCATACCATCATCACATAAATATTTAGAGTTATAACATAGATATGTACATATATTTAGAATCTGTCCAATCATGCTAAGACCCCTCGCCCTCTCAAATTGATGCCGGTGGATCAAAAAGCACCAGAAACTGATGACGTTGTCATGCCATAGACTTTGTAAACACATCAGCTATTTGAAGATCACTGGATACATGTGGAAGAGTAGTGACTCTCTTATCTACAACTTCTCTGATATGATGACAGTCCACTTCAATGTGTTTGGTCCTTTCATGATAAACTGGATTAGTAGCAATCTGAATAGCACTTGTGTTGATCAACATGGAGATGAGTGGGATTAGATTAAGGAAATTCAATTTTTGCAAGTGAACCACGAAGCCAAACAATCTCAGAGCAAGCAGTAGACATTGCTCGATATTCAAATTCGATGGAAGATTTTGATACACAGTCTTGCTTCTTACTCTTCCAAGATATCAAGGAATCTCCAAGAAACATGCACCAACCCGTGACGGAGTGACGAGTATCAGGACATCCAGCCCAATCAGAATCACTAAATACATTAAGCTGAATCTCAGAACCACTAGGAAAGAATAATCCACGAGTAGATGTTCCCAAGAGATATTGAATGATGCGACGGACAACTACCAAATGTAGATGGAGTGGAACCTGGATAAATTGACTCACTTGTTGAAATGCAAAAGAGATATCAGGCAAAGTAGTAGTAAGATAATTTAGGCTCCCAACTAGTTGCCAATACAAAGTTGGATCAGGAAGAAGATCTCCTTTTGCATGACAGTACTTTACATTCAATTCCAATAGAGTATTTACAGAGGAAGATTCTTGAAGACCAGCCAAGGCAATCAAGTCCTGAGTATATTTCTGTTGGTTCAAGAACACACCTAAAGAATTATAATGAACTTCTAACCCCAAAAAGTATGTAAGAGTACCAAGATCTTTCATATGAAAAGAATCCTTAAGCTGCTGTTGGAGGCTAGTGATTAGTGAAGAATCAGTTCCCGTGATAATAATGTCATCTACATACACCAAAAGAAGAATACAACCTGCAGATGTTCTTCGAAGAAACAAAGACGAATCATATTTGATTTGTTCAAAAGAGAATTGAAGCAAAGTAGACCGAAACTTGTCAAACCAAGCTCTTGGATCTTGTTTTAATCCATATAAAGACCGCTTCAACTTGCATACATTTTAATGTAGGTGATGAGAACAAACCAGGGGGGTTTCATATAAATATCTTCTTTGAGATCACCATGAAGAAACACATTTTTGACATCCATTTGATGAAGAGGCCAATTTTGTGATATAGCAATGGCCATAATAGTTTGCACCATAGTCATTTTTGCTATAGGTGCAAAAGTCTCCTCATAGTTTACACCATACTCCTGTTTGTTGCCAAGGACCACAAATTGAGCTTTGTACCGATCAAGAGTTCCATCAGAATGAAGTTTAATTGAATAATGTAAATCATAACTTATTGAGAATAACTTGTATATTACTCAAAAGAACAATGGTATAAATACATGGAGAGAATAAGCTAACTATGGTAACTAAATATTCTAATCCCTAACAATCAACTCTATTATCTATCTATATTATTATACAGATTCTGTAACACTCCCCCTCAAGCTGGAGTATAGATATTGATCATGCCCAGCTTGTTACAAAGGTAATCAACTCGAGTTCCATTCAACGCTTTTGTAAACAAATCAGTTAGTTGTTCTCCTGTCTTCACGTAGCCAGTGGAAATCAAGTTCTCCTGAATCTTCTCACGAATAAAATGACAATCAACTTTAATATGTTTAGTTCTTTCGTGATACACTGGATTTGAGGCAATATGAAGAACAACTTGATTATCACACCAAAGTTTTGCTGGGGTATGATGCTTCAACCCAATTTCAGATAAAAGATGATGTATCCACATAATCTCACATGTAGACTATGACATAGCTCTATACTTAGATTCTGCACTGGACCGAGATACAACACCTTGCTTCTTACTACTCCATGATACTAGGTTGCCTCCAACAAAAACACAATAGCTTGTAGTAGATCTTCTATCAATCTTGGATCCAGCCCAGTCATCATCTGCAAAATACTCAATACGAGTATGACCGTGATTACTATACAATATGCCAAGTCCAGGAGCTCCTTTAAAGTAACATAGGATCTGTTCCAAAGCTTCCCAATGTTTGACCGTAGGTGCACTCATGAACTGGCTAACAACACTTACCGCAAAAGCAATATCTGGACGAGTCATAATAAAATAGTTTAACTTCCCAACCAACCTTCTATATCTCTCTGGATCATCAAAAGGATCACCATCATATTTCATAAGGTGCACATTGGGAACCATTGGAGTACTATAGGGTTTGGTTGCTAACTTTCCGGTATCTGTAAGCAGGTCAAGAATATACTTTCTCTGAGATAGAAAAATTCCCTTGTTGCTTCTGTTTACTTCTACTCCTAAAAAGTATTTCAACGGACCCAAGTCCTTTGTATGAAACCTACTATGCAAGAAAGTTTTGAGGGAAAAGATTCCCATATAATCACTTCCTGTGATGACAATGTCATCAACATATACAACAAGGAAGATAGTGTCGGATGTTGATTACCGGTAAAATACTGAGTGATCACATTTGCTCATTTTCATCCCAAAATTCTGGACAACCTCACTGAACTTGCCAAACCAAGCTCGAGGACTTTGTTTCAATCTATACAAGGACTTCTTCAAATGACAGACTTTTTCATACTCCCCCTGAGCAACAAAACCAGGTGGTTGCTCCATATACACTTCTTCTTGAAGATCACCATGAAGGAATGCATTCTTGATATCTAACTGATGTAAAGGCCAATTCTCAGAAGCAGCTATAGAAATGAACAAACGAACAGATGTGAGTTTGGCAACCGGGGAGAATGTGTCTAAATAGTCTACTCCATATGTTTGAGCATACCCTTTAGCTACAAGTCTGGCTTTAGGTCTCGCTATAGATCCATCTGGATTAACTTTAACTGTGAAGACCCATTTACATCCCACCGATTTATTTCCCTTGGGTAAATCCACTAATTCCCACGTGTGGTTTTCCTCTAAGGCATGTATTTCATCAAGCATTGCAGCAGACCACCTAGGATGATTCATGGCCTCTTTCACTATTTTGGGTACAGAAACAGAGTCTAGAGAAGCAATCAAAGATCTAGACGTAGAGGATAAGTGGCCATAGGAAACAAAATTACTAATGAAATATGAGGATTTGCAACTACGTGTACCTTTGCGAAGAGCAATTGGGAGGTCAAGATCTTGTGGAGGATCAAAAAAATGAGGATCTGATGAAAAAGGAACTGGTGCTTGACATGTATCATTAGCCTCTCGCTTCCTCGAGTAAACTTGAACAATTGGCGATCTTGCCACATCAGATGGAGAAGGAGCTTCTGAAATAATAGTCAATTGGTCCTCAATAGAAGAACTAAGAGATGGAGGGACAACATCTGATTTTTTCGTCAAAACACGGGTGACCTGATAGACTAGCCACTCATCTTCCTCCCCCTGATTTGTAGAAATCGAAGGTGTATAGAAAAATGGTGTAGTCTTTGAAAATACCACATCTATTGACACCAAATATTTTCCAAGTTCGACAGAATAACACAGATACCCCATTTGGAGGCGAGAATAGCCTAGAAACACACACTTCAATGCCTTGGGATCCAACTTGGTAACAGACGGTCGAACATCTCGAACATAACATGTGCTTCAAAATATCTTATGTCCCATCGAAAATAGAGACTTGTTTGAAAACATAACATTGTAGGGCACATTACCAGCAGGCACACTAGATGATGGCATGTGATTAATCAGAAAACAAGCTGTAGAGACCTCATCTGCCCAAAATTGTTTAGGAACCTTCATTTGGAACAAAAGTGTTTGAGCTGTCTCAAGTAAGTGTCTATTCTTCCTCTCTGCAACTCCATTTTGAGCAGGTGTATCGACGCATGAAGACTGATGGAGAATACTATGTTGTCTCGTATACGACTGAAATAATTCTGACATATATTCTTTAGGATTGTCACTCCTCAGAATACGTACTGAAGCATTGAATTGTGTCTTGACTTCAGCACAAAAGGCACAAAAGTGAGTAAATACTTCTGAGTGACTCTTCATAAAGTAAATCCAAGTCATCCGAGAAAAATCATCCACAAAAGTAACAAAGTACTTATGCCCAGTTTTGGAAACAACAGGACACGGTCCCCAAACATTAGAATGAACTAACTCAAAAGGTGACTCAGCTCGCTTATTAACCCTTGGACTTAATGAGCTGTGATGATGTTTTGCAAATCGACATGACTCACATTCTAATGAAGAAATATTCTGGAATTGAGGACACAACTTCTTTAATAGAGGTAGAGAAGGATGTCCCAATCGACAATGTGCTTCAAATGGAGACATAACACTAGAGCAGGCAACAAACCGAGTCTCCCATTCATCAAGTATGTAGAGATCATCAGATACATGTCCTTTACCAATAACCTAATTCGTCTTAAGATCACGAAACAAACAATGACCGGGAAAGAACTAAATTTAACAATTAAGGTCTCTGGAAACTTTGCTAACATAAATCAAATTAAAGGCCAACTTTGGTAGACTTAATACAGATGACAGAGTAATAGAAGAGGTTGGTTTAAGCGTTCCATATCCAACACTGTTGCAAGTTGATCCATCAGCTACAGTAACCGGAGAGGATTCTTTGTGTGCTTGAAAGCAAGAAAAAAATATTAGGATTGCCTGTCATGTGATTTGTGGCACCTGAATCAATCACCCATTTATTTGAAGAGGTGATAAGACATGTTTTATTTGATTCAACAAAGGAATTAACTGAAGTGGATTCCTTCGAGATTTTTTGGTATTGAGAGAATTTTGCAAACTCCTCAGTTGAAATTAGGACCATTTTGTCAGATAATGGACTACAAGCACCAACAACTTTAGACCTTTGAATTCTCTGATTATAGTCGGTCATTTTCCCAACAAATCCAATCAGATTATATCATAAAATTAGACAATACCCAAGATAGACAATAACCTATTTTGGAACAATCCACACCAATTCCACTCAGGGCTAGCTATCCAATTAATCAGAGACCCAAAAATAACTCCTGATAAATCAGGAAATCATCAAATAAAGATCCAAGTAAAGTGTTGATTGAAGAGCAAAACCTGATGATGCAGATGCTGCCTGACACAGAGAGACGACTAGATTATTGGTCAGAAGTGGGAAACTCTCTCAAATCGTGGTTTGCTGAACAAACAACTACCAAATCCCTGCTGGAAATGTCAATGCAACATCGGAACAACAAGCAAATTGAATTTCTAATGCAACACCACTACTGCAGTCTCACTGGAAATGGTACTGATGGAACGTGAGGCTCACACGAGTAACTTCTAGCCATCGAGATCTAGGGGTTTAAGATCGTGGGAAGTATCTTCTTCCTAAGTGGGTGGTGACAGAAATTTTAGAACTCTCAATCACTTTCGGTGAAACTATAATTGATTCCGGCGAAGTCAGAGTGACTTCCGTCGAAGACAAAATACCAACTCAGACATTGGCTTTGATACCATGTAAATCATAACTTATTGAGAATAACTTGTATATTACTCAAAGAGAACAATGGTATAAATACATGGAGAGAATAAGCTAACTATGGTAACTAAATATTCTAATCCCTAAGAATCAGCTCTATTATCTATCTATATTATTATATAGATTCTGTAACAAATAAACCCATTTACATCCAATTGGACGGACATATGGAGGACAAGGAACAATGTCACATGTGTTATTTTCTTTAAGATCCAAAAGTTCCTCCTCCATTGCCTTTGGCCAACATTCAAGCTTGGAGGCTTGTGAGTAACCTGTTGGAATAGAGATGGTGGATAAAGTAGAAGAAAAACCATACCGTTTAGGAGTTTGAGACACTCTAGTAGATTACGGAGGATGCTCAAGAGGAGCAGACCTTGAAGAAATCTCAAATTTTGGTTATGGAGTAGTCTCAGGTGGAAGATCTGTTTTGGGATGGGGTAAAGTTGGCCGACGTCGTTCATACACAAATCCTGGTTTGAACCGCTTAGAAGAAATTGACAAATCCTCAAAAGTAGGAAGAAGAGGAGAAACGGAAGATAACTCAACATGAGTATGAAATAAATACTGATTCTCTAAGAAAATAACATTTCTAGAAACACGAAATTTGTTAGAACTTGGATCATAGCAAATAAAACCTTTCTGCGAAGTACTATAACCCATAAAAGCACATTTAATAGATTGAACAGAGAGTTTATTGTGTTGAAAATGAGGTAGGTGCACAAAATAAACACAACCAAACATATGAAAACTATGATAGCTGGGATGTTTATGAAAAATGATAATATGGAGACTCAAGATTTAACACTTTAGATGGAAGTCTATTAATCAAATAGACAGCAGTAGACAAAGCTTCAACCCAATATTTAGATGGAACAGAGGACTCAATCAATAAAGTACGAGTGGCATCTAAAAGATGACGATTTTTACGCTCAGCAACCCCATTTTGTTGTGGCGTATATAGGCAAGAGCGTTGTGATACAATTCCTTTCTCAAGCAAGAAATTATTGAATTCATGAGACATATATTCTCCACTAGAATCATATCTTAATATTTTGATGCATGTGGAAAATTGAGTCTCAACGTAAGCCGAAAAATTTGTGAATATGGAAAACACTTCAGATTTAGATCGAAGAAAATACACCCATGTAAACCGACTATAGTCATCTATAAATGTCACAAAATACTTGAAATGAGCATGAGAAATAACTGGTGAAATGCCCCAAACATCACTATGAATGACATCAAAACACTTTGCAACACGACTACCAAAATTAGGAAATGGAAGAGTTTTACTTTTGCCTAATTTACAAGTAGAACAATCAAAGGAACCATCTGAAAATTGATTTTTATTTCCCAATAAACCAGAATTGGACAAATGAGACAACACAATAGTATTTGGATGTCCTAGACGTTTATGCCAAACCTCATTCTTAGTAGTGCTAGAAGCAAATGCTAGAACACGAGGAATAGAAAAGTGTATAGGAAACAATCTTCCAACTTTAGGCCCCTTCACGATTATCGTCCCCGACACCTGATCCTGCACAAGGAAACCATTACGAGAAAAATTCACATCACAATTGTTATCTACCAATTGGCCAACTAAAATAAGACTAGTGGAGAGCTTTGGTGATACAAAAACATTCTTGAAAGTTTCAGTAATATCCCCAACCTTGATAATGGGTAAATTACTTCCATTGGCAACCTGAATTTGTGTTGGACCATTATACTCACGGATGTTTTTGAGTGTATTAGTTGAGTTGGTCATATGATTGGAAGCGCTAGAATCAACATGCCAAAATTTAGATATTACCTCATTACCTTGCAGCCCCAAAGCTGAAAATGCTGACAAGATCATTTGTTTTATCATTTCAGGAGTAAGAACTTGTCCTACTGAAGACGAGTTATCTGTAGTTGAACCATTTATCCCAACTTGAAAAGCATTTTCCCTACGATTTTGAGGACGTGTGGGACACTCTTTGATAATGTGTCCTTGTTGTTTACAATAATTACAGAGCTTCTTGCCACAATTGCTAGAAATATGACCATATTTTTTGCAACTGTAGCATTGAGTTCTCGCCATATCCATGCTCTTTCCTTTCCCTTGAGCTGCAAATGCGCAATGACAACATTTCCTTAATTAAAAACATTTTGTGTGAAGAGACGCTGCTCTTCACTAAGCAATTCCCTAAAACAGACATCCAACGAGGGAGATAGATCACGGTTCATCAAGTTGGAGTGAACACTTTCAAAATCAGATCGTAATTTCATCAAAAATTGATCTCGCTTGCCTTGTTCATGAACTCCTTGAATGATGGAGAGAGATTCAAAAGGTATTTTAGCATATACGATATCGGTAAATTCTGCCCATAAGTTCTAAAATCCAGAGAAACAATCTTGAACAGAGATACCTCCTTGAGAATCATAGCAGTTTTATGCTCTAACTGAAAACGCCTTGCGCTATGGTCTTGGTTGTAAACCTTTTGTAAATAATCCCGCATGACCTTTGTTGTCTTGTATGGCCCGAGATTAAGAACAATAAAAGTGTCAATTGGCCCTAAAATCCATGTCATCACTCATCACCCGAGCATCTTTAACCTTCCATTGACCGAGATTTGTAGGATCGGTAGGAGTAGGATCACTTCCATCTATATGTCCCCATAATTCTTTTACGGTGACAAATAGTTGGAATTTAAATTCCCATGCAGAGTAATTTTTTCCTGTGAAATGAACATGGAAGGACTCAAACTAATATGACGCCATGTTCTTGACAAGCTACGGAAGATAGAAATGCAATGATACAAAATAACCAGAATGACCAAGACTAAGATTCCAAGATGCCTAAAATTCCAAGATACTTAGGACTTACTGTTGACTAAAAAACAGTAAGCAGAACCAAAAATTTCAAAAAAAATTCGGAGAGAAACCACAGATGAAAGACACTAAGGATCAAAGCACTGAAAAATGCTCTAATACCATGTCAATTTTGCTGAATCAGTTCTCTGAAATGAGAGTTCTTCCATTAAATAGAAAGAATTCTGATTTACATGCCTAAAAATCTGCTATATATCCCTAAATCTAATTGTAATATCTCTGAAAATATGCTACATTAATCTATGTTATCTCCTATCATCATTACACAAATATTTAGAGTCATAACATAGATATGTACAGATATTTAGAATCTGTCCAATCATGCTAACATTATTTGCTGTTGAAAATTGGTCTAACTGTGTAATACTTGCTTTGTTTTTTAATATTACTCTATTTCATCACGTATTTGCAGCCTGGAATTGTTGCCCGAAAGTCTAGTAACTCTCTTCTCCCTTATAAGAAGAGGTACTCTTTGATCTATCCTCATGCACCTATCCATCCTTCAAGAAATGTTGACGATCTAGTGAAACCAGCATTGGTCAAAAATTTATTTGGCCAGGAAGCTATATGTACGGCAAATGTTTCTTCTTTTGGAGCTAGTGTGCAGGAATTTAATTTTCCCATTTCATCAATACATCCTTCCCTACGACACAAGTCTGCAAATGTGCTTCGTGTTAGTCTTGGTAGTACTGTACGAGGGTTTAACTCCTCAGTACTGCAGTCAAAGTCAGAACCTGTAGAAGAAGCTAATTTTGGAACTGCGGTTCGTCCAGATGGAACAATTGAGGCTAATCTGCAGTCTATTGAGTTGTCAACTAAGGAATTACTTGAGCAAGAACCGATGAAATGTGAACCTTTCATGAGATCAGATCTGATTGCGCCCCAATCAGTTGGAAGGGTTTTGCAGCTTCAGGAGAGTTCTTCTTCTACCTGTTCACATTTGTCTGTGAGTGGAGGAGACTTTGATAAAGTGGAGGCATCTGTTTCCGCGAGTATGAATATTGAAGATCACAAGGTATACAAAAAGACACAAGACACACATAATTTGGTTGCAAATGGTGAGGAGTCGGAAAATGATGGGGAAAAGATAAGTATGTCAGTTGGTACAGAAGAAGAATGTTATGGTTCTGATGGTTATCAGGTTTTTGCGGGACATGTTGACACTGAGAGTGTGGGGTGTGTCAGAGAGGATGACATATATGAAGACGGTGAGATCCGAGAATTGTTGATGCAGTCAATTGCAGAAGACCCAATGGCTGAGTGGATAGATTCAGGAACAAATAAGTCTTATGATGATTATGTGAATGGCTGTGATGAGAAAGCTGAAAAAATTCTTCATAAAGACATCAATCTGCGAAGTCCATTATTAGATAAAAAGGAAACAACCGGTGATGATGAGCAGAGGCCTATTGGCGCGGGTAGGTTGCTGTCTTCAAGAAGTGGAAGAGAGAGGTATTCTTATTTGGAGGAGGAGAAATTCCATCTACGAAGGAATAGGTGATTTTTCTTTTTATTACTGTTTCTTTTTTTTTTTTATAATGCTGCACAACTCTTGACTTTTTATTACTGTACTTTTTCCAGAGATGAAATCTATGGTTATGGTCCCAAATTTGCTCGAGATAGGTTTCAGGACCGTTCATTTGATAGCCCAAGGGGGAACTTCATGCGTGGAAGAGGGAGGGGCTGGGGCCATGGCCGATATTCTGGGAGTCATTTTGAAAGCTATGGAGATGCAGCTGATTATCACTTTAGACATAAACGTACAGCTGCGGTTTGGGAATCTGCAAATGAACGTAATGACTATGATAGTAGACTAGATGGTGGTGCCTTTGCTAGTAATAGGAGGAGGAATCTACTAAATGATACAAAGTTTACTCCTATGCAGAGAAGCGGTTTCCCTCGAATGTGGTCGAGATCTCCTGTTAGATCCCGTACTTGGTCCCTTCCTTCGAGGAGATTGACAGAAGGATTGAATGGTCGTGAAGATTTATTTCAGCAGAGGTCTCCAGTTATGTACAGGGAAGACAGAATGAGGTCTTCTTCACATACTTCCTTTACTGAAGAAGCAATAGCCCCTCAAAGTTGTGACCGTCCATCTTATACTGCTTGTCGTCAGAATGATATGAGGGATGTGGATGATGTACAGGAGTACAGGCATCCGAGGTCTCTTTCTAGCAGAGGGAGTCCACCTGATCAGGTATTTACTAGAACCAATAGGCCGAGAGTTGTGATCTTTGATCATCAGGAGAGGGCTGATGGTGTTGGTTACTTTGATGGGCCGATACACACTGGTAGATTTGGCGAAAGAAGGAAGTATGGCGAGAGGCAAATGAGAAATGTGAAAGAGCAAGAAGGTGGTAATGTCAGACGGAGGCATGAAGAAGAATTTGATGGCTCCAGATTGAAGAAAAGAAGATTTTGAGTTGATAGCTCACTGAACCTGTAATATTAGAAATTGCTATGGGAAACATTGTTCCTTGCAGACCGAGAAGGGTAACAACAACATGCTCTTGTATTATAGAATTATAATTGTCTAATAGAAAGAATGCGACTTAGACTCAGAATATCTCTTTATAAAGCACTTTTTTGCTTAATAGCTCATCAAACCTTGAATCTATGGGGTGCATTATAGCTCATCAAACCTTGAATCTATGGGGAAATATGCATTTATAAATGTTTTACTTCAACCTTGTTGCTAATAGGCTGTCTTTACGCGTTTCTTTCATATTGCTGGCTGTAATTTGTCTTTCTTGAAGGAGAAAAGAACTAGTTTTAAGATGTTCTACTGTGCTGGCTTGAAAATAACTTTCCTTGGCATGAATGCTGGTAGTTTAAGTTGCTAATGCTCGTGCTGGCTTTGTGTATTGTTTTAAGGCCTTAAACACAGCTTTTAGTCGCCCGTCCTTAACATACTTGGGATGGAGTAGAGAGACCATTAACACTACTTTGGAAGGTAGCGGGATTATTTCTTTTAGTGTATGTTCAAACTGTACCCCTACATTCTCAAAGGGACAGTAACTACAATAAGATAGGACAATAATCGAAGTAAAAGAAACAATAAATTGAATAAAAGAAACTACAAGAGTATTACTGCCATATACTCAACTCCTCACTAAACTATAAGAGTACTATGCATTGCTTCCACGACTTGTGTTGTTATTTTATTTATTATTATAACCTTATGTTGTTGGTGAGGAAGTTGAGATGTGCAACTTTGTAGTTTTGATGAATGGAGGACAGCTGTAAAAGCTGCCAACTCTGTCATGGTTGGTGCACGGGAAAAGAGGACAGACGCTCAACCAATGGGAATGCACTAGGTTGTTTGTTCGGACAAGCATATACCTTGGTTGACATGAAACAACCTAGTTCACACGTCACAGAATCATTTTCGAAATAGGTGTTTTTTCTCACACTACTACAAAATAGCAAGTTTTCAAGAACTGCAAGAGACCATATAAAGTTATCAAGCATGTGTTTAGTTGTTCATCAGAAAGTTTGTGTCTTTTGAGTATATACCTTGGTTGACATGAAACAACCTATCCAATTGTTAGCTCCATGCAAATTGTTGGACTGTACAACGAACTAAAGGACCATTCAATAGGTACAAGTTCTGATTGAGGTGTCTAAGTGAATTATGAGGACAACTTTAAGGAGCCGTCAATGACTTAAGCCAAAAATAAATATGTCACGCCCCGAGGCTACCCCCTAGGCGTAAACACGGGACCTAGAATAACGAGTGGCCCCAAGCTAACCCTGAGCTGGCATATCATAAGCCAACTGAATATATATATATATATATATATATATATATATATATATATATATATATGAAAAGATGAACTAATGCGGAAGCTAAAATCTGTGATAACTAATAGTGGGGAATACTCATAACTATTCTAAATATATATAATATACTAAGAGTTAAGTGACACTGAACAATCACTCAAAAACTAAAGTTGAATCTTAACTATGTCTAAAAAAGCCTCTACTGACTAGAGTTGCTGAGACATGTCCCCAGCTAACCCTAGCAAAACTGAAACTGAAATGAAAGACTAAATTTGAAACATGTCTATTATCCTCGAAGTATGAGGACTCACCACTGAAGCTGCTGAATGTGGATCGGGAACCGATTTACGCGTGATCTGAATGCTGAGGACCTGAACCTACATCATGAAAAGATGTAGCGTAGAGTATGCGTTAGTACTTGGAAGGTACTGAGCATGCAGGATAGGAATCATGCCAGTTTCCGGGAATGAAGAGGTCTCGATCTGATTTCTTATTTGCTGTTGAAAATTGACCTAACAGTGTAATACTTGCTTTGTTTTTTAATATTACTCTATTTCATCATGTATTTTCTGCCTAGAGTTCTTGCCCGACAATCTAGTAACTCTTCGTCTGCTCTTTGTATTAAGAAGAGCTTGTATCGTCGTGCACCTATCCATTATGAATACTCTTTTACTAATGAAAATGAATCCAAGGCCAAAGATGTTGAGACCGAGGACATCCTTAGCTTTAAAAATCGTATTTCACTTTTGTATTTTTCACATGTGAATATTTGTTGGGTTTTAAAAGGTGTGAGTGGAAAATGAAGAGTTATGACTTTTATGAAGAGTTGTGACTTTTCCGAAGAGTTGTGACTTTTATAAAAAGTTGTGACTTTCATGAAGAGATGCGACTTTTCATGAAGAGTTGCAAATTTTCTGAAAGTTGTGACTTTTTTGAAGAGTTGCGTCTTTTCGTAAGGTTGTGATTTTTCCAACGGATTGTGACCTTTTTGATAAGGCATGATAAGCACCAATTCACACTATTCTCTGTTGTCTATAAATAGAGTGGTTTTCTCTTATTTTTTAACACAAAATTTCTTGACTTCTTCTTCTTCTAATAAATCTAGTCTAAGTGTACTTTACTGTCGTTGAGTGGTTCGCTGACATTGTTGTTTTAGATACCGGTACACCGATGAGTAAGATCATTCTATCCTTGGAGGATATATTCCATTAACCTTGGGTACTTGAGGGGAATAATTTCCTTAAGGACACACTGTGCATTCAGTGGACTCTATTTTCTTTTTTGAGAAACATATTTTGTATAATATTTCTAATCTGTTTCAGGTTTTATTTCTTTACTGATTTTAATTTTCTAGTTTAGAAAATTCTCTTTAAACTTGTTGTTTCTTACCAATTTCTCCATAGTTTTTTTTTTTTTTTAAGTATCTTAGAAATACATGATGCACAATAATATTCTCATCAATTAAATCGGGAATCACTAAATCTGAATTTTTATGCCCATGGATACTAATAAAACTATTATTATTTTGTACCTAGGGTCGATCCAAACACTAATATATTTTTCCATCAGAAATTCCCCCATAGAATACTCTCCTATATCCATGATCCAGAAGATGTTGAAGCTTCAAGAAAGGTTGCGTTTGAAAAATATTTATTTTTAAGAATCCGGCTACAATAGAATTCGCCAGGCTTACTTAGCTATTAAAGTAATATTAAAGGCTTTAAGATCTCTAAAACCTATTTCTCGTATTGATTAGAATCGCATAATCTTTTCCATTTCTCAAAATGCATCTTTCTTTTCTCCTTTATTTGTCCCCACCGATAATTTGAAAAGCGAGATGTAAATTCCTAATACAGACCATCACGAAGTTGGAAACAAGACAAAGCATGTGTAGGGATCACTGCTAGTACAGACTTAAGCACAATATCTTTTCCTGCAATACTTGAAAAATTTAGCCTTCCATCCTTTTTTTTTTGTCTTGACTTTCTCCTTTATAAACTCTAGCATCTTTTCTTGAAACGTCCCACAACAGTCGGTAAACACAAATACATAGCCATGTCATTTATTTATCGTTGTCCAAGCAACAACGATATCTAAACTTTCTCCTCCTCTCTCACATTTTTACAACAACAGATTGCTGATTTATCTAGATTAACCACTTTCCTAGAGCTTTGATCATATTTCCTTAAAATACTTGCTACATAACTTGCATTTTGATTGTTAGTTGAACAAAATATAAAGTAGTCATCGACAAAAAATAAATGAATTATGCTTAGCCCTTGGATTTCATGTCTTGTTTAAGCATCACAAAGAAGACAAAATTAATATTTGCTAGAAAAGACTTATCTGAATAATTAATTAATGTTCAATGATAAATTTGGTAAGAATATCTTTAAGATTCTCTACAAACCCTAAATAGGATTTATAAATAAGATAAGAAGAATTATCTGACATTATACTAAAAGGAAACATCAAACAATATTAAGCAAGTAAAGTCTCTTCTCCCCTTTTTGTTGTCTAAGAACAGAGAAAAAGGTTCTCATTTGTTCCCCATATATATGTGTGTGTGTGTGTGCGCGCGCTATTTAATTGTTCCTTTTTCTTTGGGTGTTTTTGATATTTTCTTCAGGTAAAGTATTATTTTTTATTCTTGAATTTTTGGATTTTTACCTGATATAGGATCTGATGAATGATAAATATTGGTTTTGTTGTTACCTGATATAGGATCTATATATGTTCAATCAATAAATCCGAACCAAGTTGAGTTTACTGGTAATGGTATATTTTTTTGTCTATTGTGCAGAATTCTGATGATTTTCTCTGATTTTCCAGTAATTTAGATCAAGTGTTTTGAGGTTCGATGCCTGTTGGTTGTTAATAGTAAATTAGTTTGTTTGATTTGTTTTCCATTGATGTTTTATTTTTCGAGTATGAATGTTCTTTTTCTCTTCTTTCGTATTGTATTTGATATTTTCGCATATCTGGTTGCTGGGTGCTACTAAAAGAGTGTGATCTTGTGTTTGAGTTGTGTTCTACGACTTGGCTGTGCTTGATTGATATCGTCTCGAGATGGAAAGAAAAGCTTTAGCTTTAGCTGATTCTGGAATAATGCCAGTTTCCAAGAACGAAGAGGTCTCAATCTGATTTCTTATTTACTATTGAAAATTGGTCTAACTGTGTAATATTTGCTTTGTTTTTTTTTTAATGTTACTCTGTTTCATCATGTATTTGCAGCCTGGAGTTATTGCCTGGCAGTCTAGTAACTCTTCGTCCCTTCTTCCTTATAAGAAGAGGTACTCTGTGCTCTATCCTCATGCACCTATCCATCCTTCAAGAAATGTTGATTCTGGAACCATGTCAGTTTCAGGGAACGAAAAGGTCTCAATCTGATCTCTTATTTGCTGTTGAAAATTGATCTAACTGTGTAATACTTGCTTTGTTTTCTAATATCACTCAATTTCATCATGTATTTGCAGCCTGGAATTGTTGCCTGGCAGTCTAGTAACTCTCTTCTCCCTTATAAGAAGAGGTACTCTTTGCTCTATCCTCATGCACCAATCCATCCTTCAAGATATGTTGGCGATCTAGTGAAACCAGCATTGGCCGAAAATTTAGTTGGCCAGGAAGCTATAGGTACAGCAAATCTTTCTTCTTTTGGAGCTAGTGTGCAGGAATTTAATTTTCCCATCTCATCAATACATCCTTCCCTACGACACAAGTCTGCAAATGTGCTTCGTGTTAGTCTTGGTAGTACTTTACGAGGGTTTAACTCCTCAGTACTGCAGTTAAAGTCAGAACCTGTAGAAGAAGCTAATGCTGGAACTGCGGTTCGTCCAGATGGAACAATTGAGGATAATCTGCAGTCTATTGAGTTGTCAACTAAGGAATTACTTGAGCATCACAGTGGCGAAAGAAGGAAGTATGGTGAGAGGCAAGGAGGACCTAGGCAAATGAGAAATGTGAAAGAGAAAGAAGGTGGTAATCTTAGACGGAGGCATGAAGAAGAATTTGATGGCTTCAGATTGAAGAAAAGAAGATTTTGAGTTGATAGCTCACTGAACCTGTAATATTAGTAATTGCCATGGTAAGAGCAACATGCTCTTGTATTATAGAAGTAGACAGATTTCTGAATCCATCTAGATGAATGATAATTGTCGAAGAGAGAGAACGCGACTTAGACACAGAATATATCCTTAATGAAAGCACTTTTGGCTTAATAGCTCATCAAACCTTGTATATGCATTTATACATGTTTTTGCTTCAATCCTGTTGGCAATAAGCTGTCCAACGATCGCGCTTCTTAATATTGGCTATGTGTATTGTTTTTGTCTATGTTTTTTTTCACTCATTTTTATGCTCATTTAATACTCTTTTTGCTGTCTAAGAACAGAGAAAAACGTTCTCATTTTCTTCCTACATCTATATATCTGTGTGCTATTTAATTGTTACTTTTTCTGGGGTGTTTTTGATGTTTTTTTTCAGGTAATGTTATTTTATTTTTTTATTCTTGGATCGTCAAACTAATAAAAAAGAATATCTACCACTCCAGAAATCACCCCCTTTTTTTTAATTAGCTTTCTTAAATTAACTTGATAATAAATTTGGGAGCAATCGTTTCTTCTAGATTCTTTACCTATGCATAATTGTTAACATTATAAATTCTTTATTAGAATGATAAATAATATTTGTATATAATAAGTTCGACTCTATCCTCGTTGCTCACCTTATTGATATACCTCATTGTATATAATAAGTTCGAATCTTTTCAACCTCAATAATTTTATTTGTTTTTACTTGCTTCAGTCAAACTGTTTGTGACATGAACATTTGTGACATGTGAATTACAAAACCTTGCAAGAAAAACTGTTCAACTTAGAAGTTTTGTCTAACTTTGTGTGCAATAAATAAAAATGTCAATTTCTGTTGAATGTAAGTATACTAAGCATTTTATAAATTTGTTGAAAGGAATTTTAGCCCCTTGAGTTGATTTACAGTGACATTTGTGATATGTAGTCAACACCATCTCGTGGTGGGAAAAAGTATCTCATAACTTTTATTAACAATTGCATTAGATACAGTTATGTCTATTTGTTGAATGGTAAGGATGAAGCAATAGAAACGTCTAGGCAATATAATTTTGAAGTTGAAAATCAGTTGGGAAAAAAGATAAAAAGTGATAGGGATGGAGAGTATAAATCTCCTTTTGTAGAATATGTTTGGAAAAAGGAATTATCCATCAAACTATTGCCATATTCACCTCAATCTAGTGGAGTTGAAGAATTAAAAAAAATCCGAGCTTTGAAGGAAATGATGACTGCATTACTTATAAGTTTAGGTTTATCACAAAACTTGTGTGGAGAAGCTATCCTTACAGCAAAAGGGAACAACAAAAAGATTTGTCTGTTCAGAAAGAAAGCAATAAAAAGATTTTTTGTTCAGGACACAATCTATTCCATATGAGAAATGGAAAGGAAGGAAATCCAACTTGAAATATTTCAAAGTGTGAGGGTGTCTAGCCAAAGTCCAAGTTCCTATTCCCAAAAAGATCAAAATAGGACCTAAGACTGTGGACTGTAAAATTAAACTTGAGTAGTCTAGTGAAGGGTCTAAAAGACCTTGGAAAGCACCAAAGGATAATGTACTTAATAAAGAGATTCATAGGTGCAGTAAATGTCAAAGGACATCTACTTCCTTCGGATCTGATTTTGTAAAATTTCCTATGTCTTCTGTGGGCTCATCCTTTTGGAAAGATGGTATCAATAGTGAGATTGATTCAATCTTGAGCAATCATATTGGAAGTTGAATGATTTTCCTCCAAGAAATAAACGTTTGGGTACAAAGTGGATCTTTAAAAGGAAAATGAAAGCTGATGGGACTATTAACAAATATAAGGCAAGACTTGTAGAAAAATGATAGAGACAAAAACAAGGACTCGATTACTTTGATACATACTCTCCAGTAACAGGGATAACATCTATTAAGGTGTTAATAGCACTAGCTACCGTGCATGATCTTGAGACCCATCAAATGGATGTTAAGACAACCTTCATAAATGGAGAGTTGGAGGAAGAAATTTACATGAAACAACTCGAGGGGTTTGTAGTCACTGATAAAAAAAGAATGTGTGCAATTTTTTAAGTCACTTTATGGGATCAATCAAGCACTCAAACAATGGCATGCTAAATTGACCAAACAATGTTGGCAAATGGATTCAAGATCAATGAGTGTGATAAATGTGTCTACATTAAAAATATTTTGAATCATGAAGTCATTGTTTGTTTGCATGTTGATGACATGTTAATAAAGAGTAAACATATTGACGATTTAAATGCTACTAAGTGCATGCCGTCCAACAAGTTCGATATGAAGGACTTGGGAGCTGTTAATTTGATCTTAGGAATCAGAATTCATAAAACTCCTCAGGGACTAGCATTATCTCAAACTCATTATATTGAAAGAGTATTGGATAAGTTCAAGTACTTGAATTTGAACGATGTCAAGACTCCAATTGGTATAAGTTTTACATTTCAAAAGAATGAAGGTGAAAGTGACTTTCAATTGGACTATGCCAGAGTGTTGAGAAGTTTGATGTATATTATGAATTGTACACGACCAAATATAGCATATTGTGCTATTAGCAAGTTGAGTCAGATCACTAGTAATCCTAACCAAACTCACTAGAGGGCAATGCAACGTGTGTTGGGTTATCTGAAACATACACAACACTATGCCTTGCATTATAATAAATATATTGTCGTGATTGAAGGATATAGTGATGAAAATTGGATCACCGGTTCAAATGAAGTAAAAATCCACAAGTGGATATGTATTTACTCTTGGTGAAAGAGCAGTCTCTTGCAAAATCATCCAAATAGACATGTATCGCTCGCTCTACAATGAAATTTGAGTTTATCGCTCTAGATAAGGTCGGTGAATAAGTTGAATGGCTCCAAAAATTCTTGAAATATATTCTTTTTTGGCCCAATATGCATACATTTTGATAGTCAACATGCAATAGGTAGGGCATGGAGCATAATGTATAACAGAAAGTCTCATCATATAAGACATAGACATAATACCGTTAGAAAACTACTCTCTAGTGAAATTATCACAATTGACTACATAAAGTCAAAGGATAATGTGTTAGATCCACTAACAAAAGGCCTAGTTAAAGAGGCAGTTGAAAGATCATTTAAGAGAATGAGTTTACGGCTTAGGACAAGTCATCATGACGGTAACTCTACCTAGCAGACTGGAGATCCCAAGAGCTGGGTTCAAGGAGAAAAAAAATTGTGACTGACGGTTCGACATTGTCAACCAACTCAATCCATTCTCATAATGAAGACAATGCTCATGAACAAGGATAAAAAATTAAGGTTTGTTAACAAGTTAATAAAGCTTAAATTTTTTAATGATTTACTAAGTTTGACAGATTTGACCAAATAGTGTATCTACGTAATAATACGTGTTAGAAATCAATTATATGAGTGTGAAGTGGAAGCATCTTCAAAGAGAATCATTGTATAAAGTATATTATCTATACACTCATGAAACCAGGAGGTTTTCATGGATGAAACAAACACAACCATAAGAATCATAAACAGTAAAGGGTTGATTGTGTGACATATGGTTGTCTAGGTATACACCAAAGCTCGACGAATTTCAAGGAGATCACATTTATCGATTGATCGAGTATATCCAACATATGTTCACAATGGAAAGTTCAAAGGGAAACCTACTTATCCAGATGCAATTAACTCTTTCTTGTAAAGTATATACACTTGCCCATTTCTTTGTCTTTGAGTCATTCCCCATTCATGCGGGGAATTGTTGGGTTTTAAAATGTGAATGGAAAATGAAGAGTTGTGACTTTTTCGAAGAGTTGTGGCTTTATGAAAAGTTGCGACTTTTTCGTTAGGTTGTAATTTTTCCAAAGTGTTGTGACCTTTCTGATAAGGCACAATAAGCACCCATTCACACTACCCTTTGTGTTCTATAAATATAGGGGTTTTCTCTTATTTTTCAACAACAAATTTCTAGACTTCTTCTTCTACTACTAAATCTAGTATTCTAAGTGTATTTTACTGCCATTGACTGGTTGGTTGACACCGTGGTTTTAGGTACTGATACACCGATGAGTAAGATCGTTCTATCCCGAGAGGATATATTTCATTAACCTCGGGTACTTGAGGGGAATAATTTCCTTAAGAACACACTATGCATTCAGTGGGCTCAATTTTCTTCTTTGAGAAAAATATTTTGTATATTATTCCTAATTGGTTGCAGGTTCTATTTCTCAACTAGTTTTAAGTTTCTAGTTTTGAAAATACTCTTTAAACTTTATTGTTTCTTATCAAGTTCTCCAAAATTTTTGTTCTAAGTATCTTAGGAATACATAATGAACAACAATATTCTCATCAATTAAATCGGGAATCACTAAATCTGAATTTCTATGCCCATGGATACTCTTAGGAATAAAACTATTATTATTTTGTATCCAAGGGTCAATCCAAAACTAATATTTTTTCCATCAGAAATTCCCCCACAAAATTCTCTCGCATATCCATGATCCAAAAGATGATGTTGAAGCTTTAAGATCTTTAAAACTTATTTATCCAATTGATTTAGAATCACATAATCTTTTCTCCTTTATTTGTCCCCACCAGTAATTTTGAAAGAGGAATGTTAATTCCTTATACAGACACCTACGGAGTTGGAAACAAGACAAAGCATATGTAGGGACTGCAGCTAGTACAAACTTAAGCACAATCTCTTTTCCCGCAATACTTGAAAACTTTAGCCTTCCTTCCTTTTATTTTTGCCTTGACTCTCTCCTTTATAAACTCTAGGTTCTTTTCTTGAAACGTCCCACAACAGCTGGTAAACGCAAATACATAGCCATGTCATTTATTTATCGTTGTCCAAGCAACAGTGATATCTCAACTTTCTCCTCCGCTCTCACTTATTTACTGAAGTAGATTGCTGATTTATCTAGATTAACCATTTGCCAAGAGCTTTGATTATATTTCCTTAAAATATCGGCTACACAACCTGCATTTTGATCTTTAATTGAACATAATATAAAGGAGTTATCGACAAAAAATAAATGAATTACGCTTAGACCATATCTATTCAACTTAAGCCCTTGGATTTCATTCAATTGTTGATTCCATATAGATTGCTACACCTCCTACCATAAACTAAATAATCATTTTAATGCTCAATGATAAATTTGGTAAGAATATCTTACTACAAACCCTAACTAGGATTTATATATAAGATAAGAAGAATTATCTTACATTACACTAAAATCCAAAAGGAAACATCAAACAAAATTCAGCAAGTAAAGTCTTTTCTCCCCTTTTTTCACTCATTTTTTGCTCATTCAATACTCTTTTTACTGTTTAAGAACAGAGAAAAAGGTTCTCGTTTGATTCCTATATATATACCTGTATGCCATTTAATTGTTCCTTTTTATTTGGGGTGTTTTTGATGTTTTGTTTCAGGTGAAGTTTTGTTTTTTGTTCTTGATTTTTTTTTTTTTTTACCTGATATAGGATCTGATGCGTGATAAATATTGGTTTATTGTTACCTCATATAGGATCTATATATGTTCAATCAATCAACTATGCCTCAATACGAACCTAGTTGAATTTACCTGATATAGGATCTATATATAGGATCTGATGTGTGATAAGTATTGGTATGTTGTTACCTCGTATAGGATCTATATATGTTTAATCAATCAACTATGCCTCAATACGAACCTAGTTGAATTTACCTGATGTAGGATCTATATTTAGGATCTGATGCGTGATTAATATTGGTTTGTTGTTACCTCATATAGGATCTATATATGTTCAATCAATCAACCATGCCTCAATACGAACCTAGTTGAATTTACCTGATATAGGATCTATATATAGGATCTGATGCGTGATAAATATTGGTTTATTGTTACCTCGTATAGGATCTATATATGCTCAATCAATCAACTATGCCTCAATACGAACCTAGTTGAATTTACCTGATATAGGATCTATATATAGGATCTGATGCGTGATTAATATTGGTTTATTGTTACCTCGTATAGGATCTATATATGCTCAATCAATCAACTATGCCTCAATACGAACCTAGTTGAATTTACCTGATATAGGATCTATATATAGGATCTGATGCGTGATAAATATTGGTTTGTTGTTACCTCATATAGGATCTATATATGTTCAATCAATCAACTATGCCTCAATACGAACCTAGTTGAATTTACCTGATATAGGATCTATATATAGGATCTGATGTGTGATAAGTATTGGTATGTTGTTACCTCGTATAGGATCTATATATGTTTAATCAATCAACTATGCCTCAATACGAACCTAGTTGAATTTACCTGATGTAGGATCTATATATAGGATCTGATGCGTGATTAATATTGGTTTGTTGTTACCTCATATAGGATCTATATATGTTCAATCAATCAACCATGCCTCAATACGAACCTAGTTGAATTTACCTGATATAGGATCTATATATAGGATCTGATGCGTGATAAATATTGGTTTATTGTTACCTCGTATAGGATCTATATATGCTCAATCAATCAACTATGCCTCAATACGAACCTAGTTGAATTTACCTGATATAGGATCTATATATAGGATCTGATGCGTGATTAATATTGGTTTATTGTTACCTCGTATAGGATCTATATATGCTCAATCAATCAACTATGCCTCAATACGAACCTAGTTGAATTTACCTGATATAGGATCTATATATAGGATCTGATGCGTGATAAATATTGGTTTATTGTTACCTCGTATAGGATCTATATATGCTCAATCAATCAACTATGCCTCAATACGAACCTAGTTGAATTTACCTGATATAGGATCTATATATAGGATCTGATGCGTGATTAATATTGGTTTATTGTTACCTCGTATAGGATCTATATATGTTCAATCAATCAACTATGCCTCAATACGAACCTAGTTGAATTTACCTGATATAGGATCTATATATAGGATCTGATGTGTGATAAATATTGGTAATGGTAGGATTTTTCTGTCTATTTTGAAGAACTCTGATGATTTTTCTCCGATTTTCCAGTAATTTAGATCAAGTGTTTTGAGGTTCGAAACCTATTAGTTATTAAAAGTAAATTAGTTTGTTTGATTTGTTTTTCTTTGGATGGTTGTTACTCACTAGCCATTGTATTGTACTGCACTGTTGGATAAAATATTTATTTCTATTCTTTCGTATTGTATTTGATATTTTCGCATATCTGGTTGCAGAGTTCTACTAGAGGAGTGTGATCTTGTGTTTGAGTTGTGTTCTACGACTTGGTTTTGCTTGATTGATATCGTCTCAAGATGGAAAGAAAAGCTTTAGCTTTAGCTGATTCTGGAATCATGCCAGTTTCAGGGAACGAAGAGGTGTCAATCTTATTTCTTATTTGCTGTTTAAAATTGGTCTAATTGTGTAATACTTACTTTGTTTTTTAATATTACTCTATTTCATCATTTATTTGCAGCCTGGAGTTCTTTCCCGGAAGTCTAGTAACTCTCTTTTTCCTTATTAAGAAGAGGTACTCTGTGCTCCATCCTCATGCACCTATCCATCCTTCAAGAAATGTTGACGATCTAGTGAAACCAGCTTTGGCCGGAAAATCTGACCAGGTAGCTATAGGTACGGCAAAAGTTTCTGTCAAGAATGAAGTTGTTCCCAAACAAGGGGAAAGCCACAGTAAACTTGAACTTCCGGCTGATTCAGGGCACATTGAACTGTCATTAGGCACAAAGAAACTTCATGTTTCTTCTTTGGTTGATTCAAATACTACGCCGAGTTGTCTGATGCATGGAACAGTAAATCCTTCATTGCTTTCTCCATCTTTGAATAACAATGACGCTGATGATGCTGCACGCACTAATAGATTTAATTGGGATCTGAATATTCCCATGGATTTATGGGAGGCTTCTGGTGATGATGTTCAAGATGCAGGTCAGATAGACAGCAAGCCACCTTCTAATTCTGCTTTTGTTATTGGTTCTAATGGTTATAAAGGGAAGCAAGTTGTTGGAGCTAGTGAGCAGGAATTTCATTTTCCCATCTCATCAATACATCCTGCCCTACGACACAAGTCTAGAAATGTGCTTCGTGTTAGTCTTGGCAGTACTTTACGAGGGTTTGACTCCTCAGTACTGCAGTCAAAGTCAGAACCTGTAGAAGAAGCCTTGGTACAAGCTAATACTGGAACTGCGGTTCGTCCAGCTGGAACATTCGAGGCTAATGTTGTGAAAACTGAGGTTGTGAGGCAGAATCTGCAGTCTATTGAGTTGTCAAGTAAGGAATTACTTGACCAAAAACCAATGAAATGTGAACCTTTCATGAGATCAGATGCGATTGTCCCCCAATCAGTTCGAAGGGTTTTGCAGCTTCAGGAGAGTTCTTCTTCTTCTACCTGTTCAGATATGTCTGTGAGTGGTGGGGACTTGTCTACTCCATCTGAGTACTTTGATCATACTAAAAATGCAAACTTTGACCTCAAAGAACTAAATGTTTGCAGTGATAAAGTGGAGGCATCTGTTTCCGCAAGCATGCAAATTGAAGATCACATGGTATACAAAAAGACACAAGACACACATAATTTGGTTGCAAGTGGTGAGGGGTCAGCAAATGATGGGGAAAAGATAAGTATATCAGCTGGTACAGAGGAAGAATGTTATGCTTCTGATAGTTATAAGGCTTTTGCGGGACATGTTGACACTGAAGGTATGAGGTATGTCAGAGAGGATGAGGAATGTGAAGACGGTGAGATCCGAGAACCATTGGTGCAGTCAATTGCAGAAGACCCCAATGCTAAGGGGATGGATTCAGGAAAAAATAATGAATCTTCAAGTAAAAATGTTCAAAATGTCGCTGTCTTCAGACCTGTAACGGGTAGTTCACTGCCTTCAAGAAGTGGAAGAGAGAGGTATTTTTATACGGAGGAGGAGAAGTTCCATCTACAAAGGAATAGGTGATTTTTCTTTTTATTGATGTTTGATTTGTAATTATTTTTTTTAATAATGCTGCTCAACTCTTGACTCTTTATTACTGTGCTATTTCCAGAGATGAAATCTATGGTTATGGTCCCAAATTTGTGCGAGATAGGTTTCAGGACCGTCCATTTGGTAGGTCAAGGGGGAACTTCATGCGTGGAAGAGGTAGGGGATGGGGATGGGGCCGGGGCCAGGGCCGATATTCTGGGCGTGATTTTGAAAGCTATGATAATAGACATAAACATACTGCTGCTTTCTGGGAATCTGCAAATGAATGTAAGGACTATGATAATAGACTAGATGGTGGTGCCATTGCTAGTAGTAGGAGGAGGGATCCATTAAATGATCCCTTGCATTCATTTCAGCATCCACCTGCACATGGACTATCCCCCAATGGAAGAGAAGATGCTGCCATGATGGATATCAGCCCAAGAAGATGCCCTGGTGAAGATGGCTCTGCCTATGTTGGTGTTCAACATAGTAGACCTGATCATCATTTCGGTCAGGGTGATAATACAAAGTTTACTGCAATGCAGAGAAGCGGTTTCCCTCGAATGTGGTCGAAATCTCCTGTTAGATCCCGTACTTGGTCCCTTCCTCCGAGGACATTGACGGAAGGATTGAATGGGCGTCAAAATTTATCTCAGCACAGGTCTCCTGTTATGTACAGGGAAGATAGAATGAGGTCTTCTTCACAAACTTCTTTTACTGAAGAAGCAATAGCCCCTCAAAGGCGTGACCGTCCATCTTATACTGCTCGTCAGAATGATATGAGGGATGTTGATGATGTAGAAGAGTACGGGCATCCGAGGTCTCTTTCTAGCAGAGGGAGTCCACCTGATCAGGTATTTACTAGAACCAATAGGCAGAGAGTTGAGATGTTAGATCATCAGAAGAGGGCTGATGGTGATGGGTACTTTGATGAGCCGATACACACTGGTGGATTTCCTGAGCTTCACAGTGGCGAAAGAAGGAAGTATGGCGAGAGGCAAATGAGAAATGTGAAAGAGCAAGAAGGTGGTAATGTCAGACCGAGGCATGAAGAAGAATTTGGTGGCTCCAGATTGAAGAAAAGAAGATTTTGAGTTGATAGCTTACTGAACCTGTAATATTAGCAATTGCCATAGGAAACACTGTTCGGCAGATTTCTGAATCCATTTATACCTGGATGAATGATAATTGTCGAAGAGAAAGAATGAGACTTAGACACAGAATGCATTTTGCTTTAATCTTGTTCCAATAGGCATGAAATTAACTTCCTTGGCATGAATGCTGGTAGATTAAGTTGTTAATATGCATGCTGGCTTTTCTGTATTGTTTTAAGACCTTAAACGCAGCTTTTACCCGTCCTTAACATACTTGGGATGGAGCAGAGAGACCATTAACACTACCTTGGAAGGTAGCGGGACTATTTCTGATAGTGTGTATGCAGACCGTACCCTTATTTGAATTTTTCAGATTAAGGGACTATAGATGATAACGGGGGAAAACAATCACCAAATTACAAAAACAAAGCGAAACAATCGGTAGTAGTGTTACAATATAAGAGCATTGAATTAGAAAAAAAAAAGTAAAAAAAAGGAACAATACCATTGTTGTGGTTACCGGCACATGCTTGAATTTTTGTACAACAGATAGTGTGTAGCCATTTTTCGTAGTTCTAATTTTTAATATCTATCATCATCTGTTTTGGCTATTACACTATTTAGTTGTTGTTCGTAATTCTTTTTATAGGATTTACACAGCTTCTCTTATAAGTTATGTTTTCGCCACTCTTTTCTTCTTCTTCTTTATACCTGAATTAATTGCTGCACTTGAGCCAAGAGTCTTTCAAAAATAGTCTCTCTATCTCCACGAGAATACCTGATAATTACTAGAGTTCATCTAACAAACTTTGACAAAAGGGGATGAGCCCCGTTTCCTTTTGCTTCTTAATCTGATAACGAGCCCATTGTAGTCCTACTGCCCCCTTTCATTAACAAACTCATATTTACTGAATTTTATTAAAAAATAATACTAAAATAGACTTTTTAATTACAAAAATATCACGTGGGCCTTATTTCTCAGTTGAAAATAGAATGAACTTGTAAAAATATATAATCTAAAACTGTAAAGTAATATCGTAGCAATTTCTTTGTGATTGACATAGCATAAAGACTAGACTTCATTGCATTGAAGAATAATCAGTCAGAAAAGCAATAATATGTACCGTAATAGAAGTAAGTAGGAAATTTATTGGACATTCTAATGTAATATGCACATAATAGACCACTAAAAGTACAAGCAGATAAATGTGCAAAGAAAAAAGAAGGTTAATTTCTTTGTCGCCAACAACATGACTTGACTTTATATATTCATTTTGATTAAAGATATATTCCTACCCATCAAAAATGGTACGAAAACTGCCGTAAAACCCAATTTGTTTTGTTAGATTCTTCTTTCTCGTCATCCATAAATTAGGGCCATCTAATCCACTTTTTTCTTTCTTTCTATCTAATTTGTAGCTTCATGGGCTTGTACTTTTAGCTGTCCATTATGTACATAAGTTTTAAATAAAACATCTGAAACTGAAAGACCTTCCAAAATTGTCTATCTATGGAGCCTCTACTATATAAAGACGAATGGCGGGACAAGACCCACACGACACCTCAAAAAAACTACTACTAACAACTCATAAAAGATAGAGTCCTCCGGAAGCAAGGAGACCTCACTCAAAAGCTAACGAGCAGATGAAGTGATCTCAACGGAACTCCTATTGAGGATCTTAAGTACCTGAATCTGCATCATAAAAGATGCAGGTCGAATGTTATGAACTAAGTCCAGTCCAATGTAGATACTAATGTCATACAAATTGTTATTGGGCTGACAAGAGCTATTGGGCCGAGAACAAGCAAAGATGCGTTTAAGGCCTAAAAACAATACAGAAAGAGCAACTTAAACTGCCAGCATTCATGCCAAGGGAAGTCACAGTAGAGAATATTAAAACTAGTTCTTTTCTCCTTCTAGAAAGACAAATTACAGGCAGCAATATTAAAAAGCGCGTTCAATGGACAGCCTATTGGAAACAAGATTATAGCAAAAACAGTTTTTCCCATGGCTAATATTACAGGTTCAGTAAGCTATCAACTCAAAATCTTCTTTTCTTCAATCTGGAGCCATTAAATTCTTCTTCGTGCCTCCGTCTAAGGTTACCACCTTCTTGCTCTTTCACATTTCTCATTTGCCTCTCGCCATACTTCCTTCTTTTGCCACTGTGAAGCTCAGGAAATCTACCAGTGTGTATCGGCACATCAAAGTACCCATCACCATCAGCCCTCTCCTGATCATCTAAAATCTCAACTCTCGGCCTATTGGTTCTAGCATATTGTAACACCCCAGAGAATTTTCGAACTAAGACTCGAGCCATCCTTCATGTGGAGTGGGATCTTACCGAGGAATAAAAATTTATTGAGTGTTAAGTTAAGGTCCCTAGGTGTAGCACATTGAGTTCCAAGAAGAGTTGAATTGGAAATAATCATTTTGGAAAGAATCTGGACAATTTGGCTATGGAAAAAAAGTGAGTTTTTGGTCAACTTTGAGCAGTCGTATCTCCTAGCTCAAAATGATTTAGGCGAATTTCCAGTTATTTCTGGAAAGCCCTTGGAATGATCTTTCCAACTCCGCCGAGTTTGCTTGATTCCGAGTTTGTATGAGTGACTTATGCCCTTTGGAAGTTGGGTTGTTGGCACAGTCGCACAGTCGCACAGTCGCACAGTGCAGTTTGTTTAGTCCGAAAATTTTAAGGGTATTTTGGTCTTTTCCCTAATCTTTTCTTTGGGTTATATTGAGGTGTTAGACTGATGTTTGGATCATTTTTGTCCCATTTTAAAGAGTGAGAGTAAGAGTGAGAGTTAGGGCTTGGAAGATAAGAGAGAAAGAAGAGGAAAAGAAGAGGAGAAAGAGAAGAAGAAGCTAAGGATCGTCGTGGATTTTCGTCGGGGGTGATCCCTAATCAGGTATGTGAGCTTTTAGTGTTGGGTGATCCTTTCCCCCACACACCTAACCCCTTTTATTCATTAAGAAAGGATTGGTTTTGTTGTTAAAGTTGTGAGTTGTTGTGGTTGAAGTTGTTAAAGTTGTTAGTTGTTGTTGTTGAAATTATAGCTGGTATTGTTGTTGAGATTCTTGATGATTTGGGACTTGTTTCCGGTTGGGGTTTTGAGTTGAATTCTATTGAATGTTGAGGGATTTTATGTTTCTAAGTGATTGGGGCTAGAACCTTTGAAGTTAGAGAGTTTAGAGTTGGAAAAATGAAGGAGAAAAGTCGGGCTTCTTACATGAAACAAGTCCGTGTCGCGGACTTGTTCCCTCTGTGAACAAAATCTGCTCCGCGTCGCGGACAGGACGCGGACTCCACTGTTTTCAGAATTTATTCTCAAAAATTTTCTTAAGTTTGGTTGTTCCAAATCATTCCTAAATCATTCCTAAACATCATGAGGTCCTTCCAAACACCAATCAAGTCCTTGAACCCATAATCCAAGTCAAGTGAAGTTAGTTTCAAAGTCAAGTGAAGTTAGTTTCCAAATCAAGTGAAGTTAGTTTCCAAGTCAAGTGAAGTTAGTTTCAAAGTCAAGTGAAGTTAGTTTCCAAGTCAAGTGAAGTCAAGCTTAGAAGTAAGTAAGTCAAAACAAGTCTTTAAGGTTTTCCAAGAGTCTTCATTGATCGTTTTAACTTCATTCTAAGGCTCAAGTTCCTAGTTAAGTAAAGAGTTTCAAGTTTCAAGTTTAGTAAAGAGTAAAGAGCATATAGTTTCAAGTCGAGTAAAGAGTATCGAGTTTCAAGTTAAGTCAAGAGTCAAGAGTTGAGTTCATTTCTCAAAGTTATTAGGGAACTATGTATTCCCAAAGAAGTTTTAAAGAAATGTTTTTACATTTAAACAAGGTTGGAAACTGAGATTTCCAAAAGAGCCTTCGGGCTAGTTTTTGAGTAATTATCTCATATCAGCAGGAATAAATATGTTTTAAAAACATAAGAGCTAGTACATTTTTGGGAGTAGTATTGAGCACCGAATTGGGGGAGCGTTCAAAGAACCCACAGCCCCCATAGAACCATGTTAGCCACCATGGGTAGAAAAGGATCATACTTTTTAGATGAATCCTTTTCAGATTAGACTAGTGGATCCATTAGGCAGTTCAGGTCTTATACCTTTGGCCGGGTATAAGATGCTCTGGCAGCGTGAGGTCGATCGCTGTATCATCACTATAGCTCTTATGTGATGGTTGTCGGTTAGAGAAACTCCCACAGCAGTTATTGTATTTTCATACACAGAAATTATTGTATTTTATATACATCAGTTCAATTGTATTTCTATATACATCTCAGGCTTATTGTATCCTTGTATACACTCAGAGTTTATAGCATGTTTTAAACAGTCTTTCTTTATATCGCACTTGTTTTAAATTGCCTTATATTGAAAGAAGTCAGTCAGGTTGAGTTCAGTTATTCAAGAGTCGAGTATCCTTGAGTTAAGTATCTTTGAGTTAAGTATATATCTTGAGTTAAGTACATATCCTTGAGTTGAGTATCTATCTTGAGTTGAGTATCTATCTTTGAGTTGAGTATATATCTTTGAGTTGAGTATCTGTCTCTGAGTCCAGTATCTATCTTCTGAGTTGAGTAAGTTTGAGTAGTTTTGAGTATTCCTTGAGTTGAGAAAGTTTGAAAAGAGGTAAGTTATTCAATTTATTCCAGTTTTTCTTCTAGCCTATGTTGTTTAGCTTTCCAGCTTACATACTCGTACATTCCACGTACTGAGCCATTTGGCCTGCATCTTTTTATGATGCAGACACAGGTATTCAGGATCATCAACAGGAGATTCGTTGATACATCCGGGAGTTCCAGTTAGCTATGACAAGCCTCTTTGCTTCCGGAGGATTTCATTTACCTTTCAGTTGTATCAGTTGTTAGGAGGTCGTGGGTCTTGTCCCGGCTTCCATCTTTATCAGTTAGAGGCTTCATAGATAGACAATAGAGTTTCAGAAGTCTCTTCATTTATTTTGTTAAATGTTTTGAAGACTAAAGTTGCCTTTTATGGCGAGTTGTATAT